TCACAGGTCTGTTTACCTTGCAAGCGCGAACGGCGGCTCTGCCCTGCCCCTCCTACCACGCCCATGTACCACTGGGTTGCGGGTCTGCCCACCTTGCGGGTGCGGGTGGCGGCTCCGCTCCGCCCCCTCTCCAATTGGGGTCACGCGGTCACCACGCTGGCGAGCCGCTGGGCCTGCTCCGGGACGCTGGCGGCGGCCTGGCTCCTCCCCTCTGGCTCGATGACAAATTGAGGAGACTCGGGTGACTGTGCCTCACCCCCCCTACCAGGAGACCAACTGCTTATGTCACCGCTGGTATTGATGAAGTTCTCTCCTCCGCCGCTTTCTGATGACATCAGATCTCTGCCATGTTGGTATCCTATGCGAATGGCAGCATTTCGTTCCCCTTGCCGGGCAACCAAAGCAACGAGTGAGTCCTGACCGGCCCTCAGCAGGACCCGGACCTAGAAGGAGTTTCCGCGGGCTCCTAGCCCCGGGCCAGGGAAGTTCCGGGAGCCGGAACTCGGCCGCTCCGTGCTCGGTGTAAGCTCCTATAAGTGTAGGCTCCAAGAAGCAGTCCCTGCGGGCTCAGTTCCGGGAGCCGGAATTCGGCCGCTTAGTGCTTGGTGTATGCTCTGATAGGAGCAGGGTCCACAGCCCTGGGCCAGGGTGGTTCCGGGACGGTTCCGGGAGCCGGAACTCGGCCGCCCCGCGCTCGTTGTTTGCTCCGATAAGATCAGGTTCTAAGAAGCACCCAGGCACTGAACCCTAGCAATCTGTCTGCAAGCCGCAGGCGAATTGCAGCCTGAAATTACCTGTTCTATGGCTGAATGAGCTGCGGTCAGTCGAAAACAGGTATGGTGACGTCAGCTTTCCAACATGGTGGCTGCTGGCCTCCTCTGTGGTCTGACCGGTGTGGAGAACCGAGATGGACTGCTTCCTTCCCCCGTCTCGAACCAGTTGTTATGTTTTTGATATCAGCTATGCCATGGTTATGGAGGGACAAAAACTCATGCTCTGTTTTTTTGCTATTAATTTACTTAGTTAAGGATATGGAATTTATTGTAAGGAACTCAGTACCCAGAGAGCAGATGCATCATATTTTTACATTAACTTTGTCTTGTTGCTGTTTCCATTGGAGTATGCTGCTACTGGCTCTCATTGGGTAGTCAGATTCTTATGTAATTGAGAAAGAAACCAAATTTTTACTGTGGTACTGCTTATGTTGTTAATGGGGGCAATGGCCAGCATCTCATTGTGGGGTTCTTCTTGCCAAGGAGGGTAGAAGCCACCTGGAAACTTACGTTAATTAAGTTTAAGTTAATTAGTGAAGAACAAAACACAAATAGTCAGAAATATATTTACATAAAGCAGAGCCCCTGATAGATCTAGTTCACATGGGGGCTGGAACTAGACAAAGGAAAGATGGCTCTCGTGGTTTATTTATGGGGGTACATCAAAGGCAGGGATAAGGCTTCAAGGGTGGAGTCTTGCTTCTTGATGTCTTGGAGTCAGCAGGTTGATTGGCATCTTAACAGTTCACACCCATCTCAGGTGCTGTGTGGGCCACGGCAGAGCAGGATAGAAATTTACATTGTCCCAGGGCAGTTGACCAGAAAAACTGTCCACTGGTCATTCCCAGACACCAGTTGTTTCTATCCACTAGGCTTTAATGCCCAGTGACCCATACTCAACCCATGGATGGCTCGTGACATGTTGTCATTCTGGAAGAACTTTCATTTATAGTATCTATTTTTACTTCGGAGTCTCCTGTATTTATAGACATTGGGTATAGTTCTTGGCCCAAATTCAGCCTCAGCAAAGTCCACAAAGGGGGAGATAGTAAAGTTATTGCCCTGATAGCTTGCTTTTTCCTGTTTCCTTGTGCAGAATTTTTTTTGAGCATTTATTAGGAGGCTTATTTCATAAAAGTTAAGTTTTCAAAAAAAACTTTTCTTGTATTTATTAAACTTAAGAGTAGGAGCATAAAGTTCCAAATATATTAAAAATAGCTTTCAAATGGAAGGAGTAGCTAGGAATGAACATAATAAATAGATGTTTGTTAATCAAGAGAGATGTAGATAGAGCAAATATATGTAGTTATTTTGAAAATGTTTTCATGAGATGTATTAACTTAATTCTTAGTAGTAATGGTCATTAATGAAATAAAATAATTATTTTCTCCATATCTCAGGGTATTGGCCATTCCTCTGTCCTATTTCTGTTAGTGGTTCTTTTGTTTGTGTATAATCAATCCGGGAAATAAAAATCTCATTAGTTATAGTTTTTCAGGAACATATCTTCCCGCCCCCCCCCCCGTACTGGGGATTGAACTCAGGAGCACGCAACTATTGACTCACATCCCCAGCCCTATTTTGTATTTTTTATTTAGAGACAGGGTCTCACTGAGTTGCTTATTTGCACCTTGCTTTTGCTGAGGCTGACTTTGAATTGCTATCCTTCTGTCTCAGCCTCCCCCCACCCCCGGCTGCTGGGATTACAGGTGTACACATATCACTTTTTGTGTGTTTTGTTTGTTGTTTTTTTTGGTACTGGGGATTGAACCCCGCGTAGAGCTTTACCCGGAACTATCCCCAGTTCTTTTAATTTTGAAACAAGATCCTGCTAAGTTGCCGAGGCTGATCTCCAACTTGTACTCCTCCTGACTCAGCCTCCGGAGTCTCAGATCACAGGCATGTGTCACTGGACCTGACTCTGTTTAAATTAGGTAATTTGGCTAAAACATAAATAAATAATATAATTATTAACAATTTACTCAGGTGGCTCTAGTAAAGGATGTTTACCATAAAGATGTAGGAACATATTTCTGGGAAGCTGAAGGGAGAAAGTATAGCTGGGTCTCATGAGGAATCAGTCTAAGGAACCGCAGCCTCTTTTGTTTTTGTCTTGTTGTCTCTGTGTGTATCTTTGTCTCTGGGCCTCTGTTTCCCTCTCCTTTCCTTGGGTCTGTTCTGCAGCACCTCTCGCACTCTTCTTTCTTTGCTGGCTGTACTTCTCTGTGTGCTCTCCTCCTTCCTTCTCTCCTTGTGACCCACATGGGTATGTAACTGTTCTTTCTCATTGTCTCTGGAGGAGTTTGTGAGTGCTTTCTTCCTCTTCAGTTTAGTTTTGTCACTGTGTCTTCATGTGTACGAGTTTCTGTTTGTGTATGTGTGTGTGTGAGAGAGAGAGGGAGAGAGGGAGATAATATTGTATTCTCTACATCTGAGATTCACTGCCAGTATCTGTGGGTATGTGGTTCTTTCTGTCAGCCTGTCTAGGTGATTTCCTAAAGATCTTATCTTTATGTTCTTTGTTTTCTCGTAAGAGAAATAATAATGTACTAAATTGGTTTCTGTACTTACAGAGTCCTCATACTTTATAGCTCCAAGGAATCACTCTCTCTTGATGTCTAAATTTGAATTTTAAAAAACTATTTTGAAAAAATTTAGACAGAAGTGTTGCAAAGATAGTACAATAATTTTCTGTATATTTTTCACCCATTTTCCTTAATGTTGGCGTCTTACATAACTAAAGCTATATAGTGGTCTTTAGTATGATGTTAACTAAAATAAAGGCTATTTTGGGATTTAAACAATTCTTCTCAAGTTGAATTTTGAAAGAGAAGAGAATCTGATTGCTCCCTTAGTACAGAGTTCTAGATTTAGCTCAGTCCATGCAGGAGGGGATGTGGAATGATAGGTATGCTAAGCCCTTTCTTTCTGTGGGGGGAACTTTTAAAGAGAAAGGGAAAGCAAGAGAGCAGCAGACACTTCCTGTCATGTCAGTAGTTTATAGTGAAGCTCATCCTGAGTATTTTTTCTTACATTTCCTGTAAATGGGAAGTTTTGGAATATGTTTGCAAATTCATGAAAACAAGTTTGTTAAAGGTTTCATTTAATTGCTAATTAAAAGGGTTTTGTATCAAGACTTTAGTATTTGGGCAGATGTTCATATGAATCAGAGAAAATATTGTCTGCTTTTGTATATAAGCAAATTATTAAGTGTTCATTAATGAGTTTTTCCCAGGCAAATGATTGATTCCCCCCCCCCATGGTATCTTAAGATATTCGTGGCTATAAATGCTTTAAACTTGTTAAAAACTTTAAAAACAATAACAGGCTGCCAGGCAGATTTATACTTTTAATATTCACATGTATTAGGCTGCATTATAACTCTTTCAAAGTGATTCTTTTTTTAATGATAATGAAGCTTAGTTGTAGTTGGACACAATACCTTTATTTTATTTATTTATTCTTACGTGGTGCTGAGGATCAAACCCAGGCCTCACATGTATAGGCGAGTGTTCTACCACGGAGTCACACCCCAGCATAAGATTCACAATCTTTTAGCTTTTTGAAATGTATGGTACCTTGTCATCTATAGTTTTCCTGCCACATGCAGTAGCATACCAGAGTTTCATGTCCTAACTGTAATCTAATATTCATTAATTAATCTTTCACCATTTATCCACTCCCACTCTCCCCAGTTTATGTCTCTTGATATCAGACATTTTAATTTCTCATTGCCAACTAATTAAAAAATTATCATTGCCTCTCTTAATTATAATCCTTTTAGAAATTGTTATTACTTTAAGTACTATGATTCTTAATCTATCATTCTTAAAGGCAGCTGTTGGTATGATTCTTTATTATGTAATTTATAGTAGGCAGTATAATGTTAAAAATGAATAACTTATGTGTATGACTTGATTACATGGTCCTTATAGGAAAATGCCTAAATTCAAGGTGTGGAACAACCAATACTTAAGAGTGATTGCACAAATTTGGTATTTTTATTATGCATACAATAATGAATTATTTTTTATCAAGCTTCTGTTCTCAACTTTTTTGTCAGGCACAATATTTTTAACATTCTGTTATAGACCACTGTCATCAGCTGTTGATGTAGTTTTCAGTGAATTAGCTGTTATTTGGGGGGTGTTGAAAATATTTGAAAATCTGGTATCCTACTATTGTAATAGAACTGTATCTTTATGTGACTTATCTTCATTGTTTTAGCTCAGCAGATATCACAATAACATTAAGGAACAGAGGAGATGATGCCTATAGAGCAAATGTGTATGGTGATTCCATAGTTGTACAACAACACATCAGCATGGATGGAAGTCGATCCTATAAACTAAAAAGTGAAACAGGTTTGGTTTGATTTTTCTTTTTTTCCACATGAAATATTAGTAAATAAATAAGTACATTGAAAGGACACTTCTTCCCAGTCTCTTGAAACCTCTTACACTGTGGTTGATTTGTATGTTTGCATACATACACACATATAGGTACATGCATGTATTATATGCATATTTTATCACAGGACATTCTAGTGGCAAGATCATGATTAGAAAAATTGGGCAGTTTGAAATTAGAAAAATTGGCCAGGTGCAGTAGCGCACACCTATAATCCCTGCAGCTCTGGAGGCTAAGACAGGAGGATTGCGAGTTCAAAGACAGCCTCAGCAAAAGGGAGGCACTAAGCAACTCAGTGAGGCTCTGTCTCTAAATAAAATATAAAATAGGGCTGGGGATGTGGCTCAGTGGTTGAGTGCCCCTGAATTCAATCCCTGATACCCCCTATGCACCCACTGCCAAAAGAGAGAGAGAGAGAGAGAGAGAGAGAGAAAGAAAGAAACAGAATGTGCCATTTTGTTCTCAACTACAGATCTCCTTTCATTTCTATAGTTTCTATAGCCTATGGAAAGAAATAGTTAAGGTAGAAAAGGACATAAAGAAAGAGATGAAAGTTTAAAGTTTACTGCACATGGGCACATTTTCCTCTTTTGTATTCCTGAGTCATAACTAGACTTTTATCCCCAGTTCACTCAGACTTACACATATTTAATGATACTTTTCTTGATGATACAATGAAAGGTCATTAATATTTATATTTAATAGATAGTTATACTTTTTTCTGTATTGCCCTAGAAGCAGTATGATTATTTTATGTTTCTCATAATTAGGTACTGTGGTTTCTACTAGGAAAGAAGAACTGATTGCAATTCTGGATCATTTTAATATCCAGGTAATTGCTAAATTTGTGTTTTGAATTAATGCAACTAGTAGTTTTTGGTGAGGTTTCACTTGTGTTATATAGATAACTAAAATGTTCTAATAGGAGTGATATAAACACAGGAAGTACACACTATAACTGTTGCTAGTGAAGTTCTTTAAAATTTGCTAATTCAACATGATTTATTTTAAGTGCATGACATCTTACTTTGGTGTAGCAGTAAGGAGCATCTAATCCAAATTAGTATATGCTGAAATTTAAAATTGATAAGGCTATAATATTTTTTTTGCTTTCAACTATAATCAAAGTAGCACCTTTGTTTCCTATACTCAGTTGCTTAATTTTTGAGGAGGAAAAAAACTCTTTTTCTAGAAGGAACAAATTTTTTGTATGTATTTTGAAGTTATTGGTCATGTTTGTAGGAACGAAGGATTGAATCTTTTTGGCTGAGATACTTTAGCGGACTTAATTGAAAATGGGACACACATGGTATTATAATATTAGCACTGAAATTGTCTTTAGAGATCCTCTGCTTCAGACCCTTTTGTTTGCAGGTTAGAAACTGGGAGCCAGAGAAAGTAAATTTGTACTTCAGGTTGTCTAGATGTGATTGGTGGTAGAGCCTGGACTGGAATCAGGCATCACTGTTTGATTCTAGTTCTTTATCTTTTGTTCCCTATCCCAAGATTAAGATCGCCAAAACTTATCATCAAATGGAAAGAACAATTAATAGTTTGTGTCTCTTCCCCAGTTTGGTTTAATCACAGTTATCCAGAATAACATTGTGTTGTGGTAGGAATGTCCTGTATCTCTTCTGTCTGGTTTGGTAGTCCCTAGCTACATGGGCTCTTGATCACTCGAAGTATATGATCTAGAAATTGAACCATCCACATATTTGACAGCTGTGATCCCAGGGACATAGGAATGGTCATCTATAAAAAAAGATGAGAACCAGGGATATATATATAGCTCAGTTGGTAGAGTGCTTGCCTCGCTTGGGCAAGGCCCTGGGCTCAATCCGTAGCACCACAAAAAAAAAAAAAAAAAAAAAAGACGAAAGTAAAAACATTGTAATACCAGCACCTCAGAGGGTTCTTGAGCTTGTATCCTCTTATTATGGAAAAATGTTTAATTTTGACTATAGTGGTTTTTTTTCTTTCTTTCTTTCTTTATTTGGTATTATGAAATTTTGAAACATTTTTCCCTGTGTTAAAAAATTTGTGACATTTTCTCTGTATTTTTACCCTGATGTTGTTACCATCAGCAACTGTCTGTTAGCCATTTTGATGATATCCTGAGTCAATTATAATGTATATTTCACTTTATTTTTAAGGCATCAAAGTGAAATTTTTAAAAGTGAACTTTTGTTTTTTGTTTATTTTAGGTGGATAATCCAGTTTCTATTTTAACACAAGAGATGAGTAAGCAGTTCTTGCAGTCTAAAAATGAGGGAGACAAATACAAAGTAAGAGTTACCAAAGTAAATACAAACTTAACCCCCCAGTACACCTAGATATATGCCAAGCATTATTCTTGTTAATGTAGATACTGATTCTTTTTCCTCAAAGGCACTTACTTAAAGTAATATTAGATTATAAAATTATTGAATAAGGTCTAAGTATAATATTCTTGGTAAATTCTTGCTTTATTGGTTTTTATTTTGAAAAAATAGATTTTTTATTTTTTGAAAGAAAATATAAGGCAACAATTGACTATACATACTTGTAAACTTTAATTTGTTTAAAACTTAAAAAAGGCATCAACCAACTAGTACTAAAACTTACTGTAGCCTTTTGAATGAGTTTGTATTTCATAGTCTAAAAGTTGAAGATGAACTAAGATCAAAGATAAGAATATTTCCTGTCATTTTTGCTTCAAGAATGGAACAGTTGGTGAAAATGAGCTTTCAGAATATTATTATCATCATACTTTAAGGTGTTTTTCTCCCCCTCATGGGGTTAAGAGCTTTTGCAAATAAATGTACACATGTGAACTTATAGCAAGTTCAGTAAATTCAAGTATAAAATTAGATGTATTCTTTCGTATTTATGTATACGTGCTGTGCTTTTAATAAAATCTTTGCATAATTGGTCTAAAATTTTTTATGGACAAAATTTTTCTTTGTATTTTTTACATTTTTCTATGAAAGTTTATTAATTCTCAATTATGTTTTTCTTTTTTTTTTTTTTTTTTGATAAAGTTCTTCATGAAAGCAACCCAACTTGAACAGATGAAGGAAGATTATTCATACATTATGGAAACAAAAGAAAGAACAAAGGAGCAGATAAATCAAGGGGAAGAGGTTTGTAGATAGTGTAAATCTTTTCGAAATTAGCCAAATTTCTATAGTACTTAAGATAAATGGTATGGTAAAATTATATACCTATGTACTGATATATATCTGAACAAAACTACTAACATTTTTATAGCACTCTGTGAAGTATGTGATGTGTTGTGGTTTTTATGTGTAGGATATTTTTAGCCTCTACTTTTTGCTTTGTAATAATGGATCTTTACCTGTCTTCTGCATTAGGCCATAAACTAGAGAACATGACACCATCTTTTTTTCTTATTCTTTGATACATGACTAATTAGTTTCATAATAAAATATCCCTAAGTCCCACTATAAATAATTTTAAAACTAACATTTATTGTACTGGACTAATAAGCAAGTCTCAAGTTGATATTAAACAATATTAATTTATAATTACATAGGGTAGATGATCATTGTACTCTAATGTTAACATTCTTTAAGCTACTGATAACTCAGTAGTAGATGTCATATCAGTACTCTTCAACTTGTCAATCATGAAGATTGCTAGAATTTTAAGTCACTTCCTGTATTAACTTTTCATCACTGTAACCAAAATACCTGACGAGAACAACTCAAAGGTGAAAAAGTTTATTTTGGCTCAGTTTCAATCCATGGTCAGCAGACTCCATCACTGTGGTCCTGATGTGAGGCAGAACATTATGGTGGAAGAATGTGGCAAGGGAAAACTGTTTACCTCATGACATTCAGTAGGAAGAACCAGGGACAAAATATATAATACTCAAAGCACACATCAAGTGACCTACTTCTTTCAGTTACAGTTTGTTCATACCTGTAGTTAAAACCTAGTAATTCATTAAAATTATTCATCAAGTGGATTCACCTGCTGTTCATGTTAGAGTGCTCAGAAAGTAATCAATTCATCTCCTGAGTTAGCACAGGATTTTGGGGAGGGATACCTCATATCCAAACACAGCACTTCTGTCAACCATCACTTCAGTTTATTTTTACATCAGCTATATTTTGCTCTTATACTTTCTTTATATTTCTGAATATACTTCTGTCTAATAATAACACACCTCACAGTCATATAAGATTAAAATATTTTAGCTATTTAAATACTACATTGAATCCCACCTGTTTTACATGATTCCATATCTTGTTCTTTTGTTCAGTTTTAAAAACTAGTTGAGCTTTCAGCAACTTTTTAGCTTGAACTTGTGAGACAGAATTTTACTAATGACTGACTTATGCTTCTAAAAAAATTTTAAGAAATGCATATTTTAACTTAGGTTTATAATTGTAATTGTGTGGTTCAAGAAGTAAAAACTAAGAAATCAAGTTTACTTTTTTCCATATCATTCTTTCACACCTAGATTATGTGGTGTGCAAGGGTCTACTATAACCCATAGAATTAATACAGCACATTCTCCTAGACTATGTATCATTATTGGGGAAGGAAAATATTTGCATTTTTTTAAAAAAAAACACATAGGATACACTACAATAATTATTGTAAAAAATTATAAATTGATACTTTGAAGGAATTTGTTTCTTGAGATACTTAGGATTAAAGACCCACTTTCTTCATGGTATATTTTGTCTTCAGTAGTTAAAAATATTTTTTCCCTAGGGCTGGGGTTGTGGCTAAGTTGTAGAACACTCCCCTAGCATGTGTGAGGCCTTGAGTTCGATCCTCAGTACCACTTAAAAATAAATTAAAAAATAAAGATATTGTGTCTAACTAAAAAATAAATATTTAAAAAAAAATTTCTTCCCTATATCTTGTAGCAGAATTCTGCCTGCATAAAATTAATAAGAAATGTTTTTCTAATTGAGTAAATGCCCCTTAATCGCAAACTCTAGATTTGAATAGTTAAATCTTCAAGAAATAGTACATGAAAGTTGGAACTAGGAATGATTCTATCAGCAAATATTATATATATACATAACATTGTGTTTTGTCCATAGGCATATAGTGACAAAATTAATATCAATGTTTTTGAGGTCCTAGACTTAACCATTCAGTAGGAAATATAGACAGTAAATGATATGATTAAGATGAGCACTACCAAAGGAGCTATAGACTTTGGCAGTTTGTAAAAAGCACTTAGTAGGGTGCTGTCAGTGGGTGTTGGTAGCAATAGGGAGGAATTATTGAGGAAGTGATATGTAAAATGAGGACCGCAGAATGAATAATACCAGGCAAAAGATGGTGAGAGTAAGGAAGGGTGTTTTAAGAAATAACATGGTAGTGGTGGGCTAGAAAGCCTTTGATGCTTTCCTTACAGTTTGAAAAACTGCAAGAATTATAGAATAGCTAGGATGAAGGATACAGGAGTTAGAGATAAGAGGTCAAGATTATGTGGGGCCTTGTACAACTCACCGGTAGTGGAAGACATGAAAGTGGATGAATTGATTAAATTTCTGTTTTCTCTAGATTCTGCTATAGAAGAGAGTGAGTTACAATAAGGAAAGAACAGATGTAGGGAGATCAACAAAGAAGGTATCATTGTTCGTAGAGAGGAAGAAGAACTTTGAAATGATTTGGGTGGATGTGTGGGGCATGGAGGGGAAAGATGAGACAGGAAGTATCAGGGATGATTGACTTTCAGATTAATCGTTTCAGCAGTAGAGTATATTGAGTCAGGAAACTTGGAAAGAGGAGCTGGTTTTCTTTTGCTTTTTGTTTTGTTTTTAAGACAATATCATTTTGAATGCATTGATTTTGAAGTGCTAATGTGACATCCAAGTGAAATTGTAAAATGGAAAGTTGCATATTATGTGAAGAATACAGATATCAACTCTGGCCTTTATTTGGCAGTTATCAATATATTATTTAAGTCATAGGAATAATTTAGATTGCTGAGGGGGAGAGGAAAGGCAGATCCAAGTCTCAGCCATGGAAATGGTCATGGAATCCATATAAGCCAAGGGAAGAGAGAATTGAGATTGACTAAGTCACGATTATGCAATATATGGTCAGATACTATGAGTATTGACAAAAACGAGCTGTATTCAATGACAATCTTTATAGATGACTGTGGCAAGACAGGTTTCATTACTAGGGGGAAAACAGTTTCCAGACTTGTGGAGCTGGAAAATGTGAGAAAATGGAAAAGATGGAGATAATTTTGATGAAATTTGGTTGAAAAAGGAAGAATTTTAGAGGAAGAGGTAGGGATAGGGATGGGTAGTGGTGGTTTTGTTTGTTTCTCAAAAAATAAGTATATAAAGTTTAAAGCAAAGTAATGGAAAGGAGTTAATGAAGAGGGTCAAGTGGAAAGAAGAATAAAAAGATAAAATTGAAAATCAGTGGATTTAGACCATTGAGAGTCAAAGGGGATGAAGTCCAATCTGTGCAGGGATAGAGGCTGGATTTAGGTGTAATGAAGCCCCCTGTCTTTTGCAGTAGGGCTGCTTTACATTAATAGATTAGGTTATTGGAAGTAGGAGGGAGTTCCTGTCTGTCTTTTATATTCTCTAAAGCTGGAGGCAGGGAGAATGAGTGAGGGAGCTAGATGACAGTTGTGTATGAGATTTGAAAAGAGTGATAATGGATTAAAATTATCCTAGAGAAAGGGAAAGTGAATTGAATGTGGGGGGAAGTAAGGTCTACAATATTAAGGCTCTTGTAGGGTATGGAAAGCATGAATGAAGGGGAAAGACTATATCAGGTACACAGAATATGAAGTCTGGAAGCCCTTCACAAGCTGATCTGATGACTTGATACTTGATATTTGGTGATTTTATTTATGAAAAATATTTTGAGGAATAAATCGCTTCTAATTTTTCAATTATCTTTGGAATGGGTACTGATTATGTTTTAAGGATAAATCAGCCTATCTTTCATATATGGAATAAAGAGAGAAAATGGGACAGTGAATTTTGGCACTTATCTATACTTGTGTAGTTTTGACCTTTAATTCCTGTGCTCGTCTTCATCTGAAGAATATTTGGCCCAAGTTTTAGTGCAGAAATTAGCAAAACTATTGCACCTAGCAAACATATGCCAAAGAACCAAAAATACATTTATTTTCAATTTAGTAATTTTCTAACAAATCTTTATGTAGTATTTGTATAGGCATTGTTTTCAAAATAAATAAATTTGTAAAAAAATTTTTGTTTAATGTTATTAAGAAATATATCCTTTTTTCCCCTCTCATTTTAAGCGACTTACTGAACTAAAGCGCCAGTGTTTGGAGAAAGAAGAACGTTTTCAGAGTATCGCTGGCTTAAGTACAATGAAGACTAATTTAGAGTATTTGAAACATGAAATGGCTTGGGCAGTGGTAATTTTCACCTAATTAATTATTCACATATATTTGTAACATATGCAGTATATTTGGGGACTGCTAGTCTCAGTGATTTGCTGTATAATTTCTTTTTAGGTCAACGAAATTGAAAAACAATTGAATGCTATCAGAGATAATATCAAAATTGGAGAAGATCGTGCTGCTAGACTTGATAGGAAAATGGAAGAACAACAGGTTGTTAAATCTTTTTATATAGGTGTATTAGGTTAAATCCTGTGAGATTGCTGATATTAGATAACTTATGGCCTACAAAAGTGGCAGTTTAAACCTATATTTTATCTATACTTGAATTTCTTGTTCAGTTGAAGTAGACCTACACTCATTCCAAGGACTATGGTGATAACCATCTTTTGAAAAAAAAAATATTGTGTTTGGCTATCTCAACCTGTTTGAGGCTAGGGTTGCATATCTTTCAGGCATGTGGACATGACAGAGAGATATTAGAACATGAAGCTTTCACTCTTGGGTTCATTTTAAGGAGTTGAAACACAAAAGACCTGAGAAATGAGAGGTACCAAGATGATAGAGTGATATCAAAGCTAACTCAAGAAGTATAAGAACTGAGAACTGAAAATAATGCCCAGAGATTGCTAATGGAACTTTAAGGGAACTGATTTTTAGATCTTAGAACCCAGATTTCCTGTCAGGATTTCATATAGCTAGAAACATGTTGGATAACTTATTAGGCTAGATTAATTTTAACCTGAAATTTAAAAGCTCATGTAAAAAGTATTCTGTCTAAAATCTAAGAAGACCATAAATATATTCCCCATGGGCCTAGAGATCGAAGTTGGTTGAAACACTGAGCAATATCCCCAGTAATTTATATTTTTATTTTGAGATGGATTCTCACTAAATCCCAAGGCTGGCCTCAAACTTGCAATCCACCTGCCTTAGTCTCCCAAGTTGCTGGGATTACAGAATTGTGCCACCACACTTGGCTTTCCTTTTAAGGATTATGGCATTAATCCATCAAAGGTAATAATTGAGTATTCAAAAACAATAGAAATGGTGAAGATAGTACATTTACTTAGTGATCTCTGGAATGAGGTTCTTTTACCCTCTTCAGATAATAAATGGAAGTTCGACCATACCCACATCTCTCACCTCAGATTTTCTGAGAGAATATTCTGAAATTTTCTCTGTAAGTATTTTTCTCGTTAGACATCTCTCAATGTAACTATGGAACCCAGTCAGAGAAATAGTTGGATACCTCTTTTTCTCATGATGATATTTAGTTTTGGTAAACCTTGCTCCACTTAATAATTTCAGCACTCTTCAAAAATCTTCACAGTAAATGACAAATTTTTGAAGGGTAAGGACTATCTTGTTTTATCTATATCTTTCCCAGCCTTTACATAAAGCCTTTCACAAAGTGTACACCTGATTTTCACTTGTAGAATTGAGGTTTGTTTTTCCTTTCTTTCTTCCTTTATTTTAATTAGGTGTATATGACAGACTGCATTTTGATTTATTGAACACAATTGCAGCACAACTTTACGTTTCTATGGTTGTACACAGTGTAGTAGAATGAGTTTTGAATTGAAGGTTTCTGCAGTATTTCATGGCCAGGTATGGTGGCACATGCCTATAATCCTAGTGACTTGGGAGGCTGAGTCAGGAGGATTGCAAGTGAAACCTTGAGCAACTTAGCAAGACACTGTCTCAAAAGTAAAAAAAAAAGGATTGGGAATGTGAATCAGTGGTTAAGTGCCTCTTGATTCGATCCTGTCTTCAAATAAAAGTGTCTAAATCAGACTTTAAACTTTTTGTTTAGAACCTAACTTAAAATGATTTGAATGAGTGTTCATATCATGAATCATGTTTAGTTCATGTAACACCTAAGTCTTTTTAAAATTTTTATTAAACCATAATTCTTCAGCATATTGCCTTTGGGTGGTTTCATGTTACAATGACAGAGTTTAATAGTTGTGACAGAGACCCTATGGCCCATAACGTCTGAAGTACAGAAGTATGGCCCTTACCACCTAAAGTCTGCCTTTCATAGAGAATATTGGTGACTCCTGTGTAAATAGTTCACCAGTTTTTTCTCTTTAGTCCATGCCTATTATCAGTATCTCATTTTGGTCCCTTAAGATTTCCTTTTCCTTTATTTTTTTAAATACCATCGTGCTTTCCACTTGCTTTCAGAGTGATCTGACATGCAGATTTGTTCATATCTTGTCCTTTGTAGTCTAGAAGATTCCATTTTAAGCTGTTTATCATGAATTGTTTTATTTGAAGACAATTGTTTTATACTTGTATCCCCAGGTGATTAGCATATTTGTTGGATAACTGTGAGTTAAAATTAAGTTACATTTTAGTATTTTATATAATTACGTTTGTTTACCTAGTGTCTCGTGAAGTTAAATTTATTTTTGGTATGTAAACTGTATAACTTTTTGAGTTTTTCCTCTTCATTGATGAAAAATGAGATATACTCAAATTATGTCATTTTTGTTAAAGGTCAGACTTAATGAAGCAGAGAAAAAATACAAGGATATTCAAGATAAACTAGAAAAGATTAGTCAGGAGACAAATGCACGAGCACCAGAATGTATGGCATTGAAAGCAGATGTCACTGCTAAGAAAAGGGCCTATAATGAAGCTGAGGTGAGAAAATGTTCTGACCCGGAAAAGTAAAGCTGCATAGTGAATATAAAGATTGTTCATCTATTTTTTTGAATTGTTCATCTGTTTTTTAAGAGTGGGTGTATATCTGCATTAAAATCTGTGTTGCTTCTATGCTTTAAAAATATAGTTATTTCAAGTGGCTGTGAATACTTTTATTATAAAAATGTTTTTTGGTGCATAGTTAGCCTCTGATTTGAAAATCTGACAGCAGTAGACTTGAATGGAATACTTGTTTTTTCGTTTTACTAAAGAATGTTTAGTTTTTGTTGTTGGTTTTTTTTTTTTTTTTTTTAGGTTTTATATAACCGTTCTCTAAATGAATATAAAGCATTAAAGAAAGATGATGAGCAGCTGTGTAAAAGAATTGAAGAACTGAAAAAAAGGTAAGGTAGTTGTTTTGTAGTTTTCATGAATACTTTTGTGACAAAGTAATCTAGGTGCAATGGAGTATTATGTTTTCTGTATTATTGTTAGTGTAACTAATACATTGGCTTATGCCTTTAAAATGTTTTTTATGTAACAGTTTTCACTTTTCTTTCTTTATTGTTAGCACTGATCAGTCTTTGGAACCTGAGAGGTTGGAAAGGCAAAAAAAAATTTGTTGGTTAAAAGACAGAGTAAAGGCCTTACAGGACCAGGAAAATTCAATCAATCAAGAGATTGAACAGTTTCAACAAGCCATAGAAAAGGACAAAGAAGAATATACTAGAATTAGGTAAGTTGCAACATCCTTAAAATAATTTTTTTCAACTACTTCAATTTTTATATAGCTTTAATCTGTATTTGAAGAGAAATCCTGGGGTGTTTGTTTGTTTTTCAAATAAGGGATCTTTTAAAATAACTTTTCCAAGACTTTTCTTAAATTTGTACATTTGGACAGTTTTTTAGATTCCTGGTTCATTACTTTTGCAACATTTTCTTCATAGTAAGTTTTGAGGACTGCCAACAACTTTTGTCTTGTAGTGTAATTTATTTTCAAATAAAAAACTCTGCCTTTCATTTTTAGGGTATCTGGGTTATTCAATGGTATATAAGAATTAAGGGCATACCAATAACTGTTTCTATGTAACTGTCACATATTTATACAGTATGTATAACTGTCTCTTCTGGTTTTCTACTTTTATTTTTTAGGGGCGAAGAACTAGATGTGAAGCATGCACTGAACTATAATCAGAGGCAATTGAAAGAACTGAAGGATAGTAAAACTGATAGACTGAAAAGATTTGGCTCTCATGTTCCAGCTCTTTTGGAGGCAATTGATGAAGCTTACAGACGGGGACACTTTACCCATAAACCTGTAGGCCCTTTAGGTATTTGTCATGATTTAGTGAGGATATAATAAACATTAGGAATGAGTTTCTATCTTCACCAAGGGTGGGGGTCTATTGAATCTAGGTATATGGAGACAGGGTCTCACTGAGTTGCTTAGCACCTCAGTTTTGCTGAGGCTGTCTTTGAACTTACAACCCTCCTTCCTCAGCCTCCCAAGCTGCTTGGATTATAGGCTAGGTATATAGTTTTGTGTGGACTTTTAATTGTACTAGTTTTTAAAATAATGATAAAATCACTTTAAATTTTATAGCTTTCTTTTTGTACCTGTAAAGCATAAAACATTAAACATTCTTTCGAGAAAGAAAACTTAAGGAATCTTAATAGTTTAATAGTCTGGTTCTTTTATTTTTCCTTCCCAAAATGAATAACTGGATAAAATAATTTGGATGTAATTGATTAATGAGATAATCCAGTGGCATCAAGATATAGTGAAAAGAACACTCACCTGAATTTTATGTAGCCCTGATAAAAAGACTTATCTTAGGTTTTTATTTGTATTTATTTATTTGTTTTTATTGATTTTTTTTAAATGACAGTGGAATGCATTACAATTCTTATTACACATATACAGCACAATTTTTTTCATATCTCTGGTTGTTTATAAAGTATGTGTCTTCCTACATGTACTTTGGATAATGATGTTCATCACATTCCACCATCCTTGCTAACCCCCTGCCCCCTCCTTTTCTCTCCCACCCCTTTATCTTAGTTTTCTGTTTAGGCTGGACATCATAATTTCTAAATTTTCTTTCAATTTTAAAATCTTCATAAATACCTGACATTTGAATTTTTCTAAATCAAGTTCTCCTGGGAGTTATCTCGGATTGTGTATACCATTAGGTAAAAATGATGCTATAAACATAAATACATTTTAATACTAAGCTGCTGCATTTAACCATGGCAGTAATGTCTCTTCATTTAAATATGTACTTATATAATAGCATCCATTTTAGTGGATGAGACTTTTTTTTCCCAGTGAAATCTAAAAATCAAAGCAGTTTTATAGAAAATAATAAAGGCTTAAATTCAAAACACCAATGAGGGTTGCAGAAATGTAAACTTACATAGAAAAGCCACTGTTGACGTACATTAGCGTGGGATGGTTTTATTCAAAGGATTTGGTGTGTTTCCTCCCTAGGGTATCCAGTGGGTATGTGGGTATTTTCAGCTGAGATAAAATAAGATCTGCAATATCATTTAAGCAGCTTTATATGAAAATATTAAGTCATTTATGAATTATAAAAAAATTATATTAATATTTCAAAATAAGTATCTTGAGCCCCTCTATGATTTTCTCACTTTTAGGAGCTTGCATTCATCTTCGGGACCCCGAGCATGCTTTGGCTATTGAATCCTGTTTAAAAGGACTACTCCAAGCCTATTGTTGCCATAACCATGCTGATGAAAGAGTACTTCAGGCACTGATGAAAAGGTTTTATCCACCAGGGACTTCACGGCCACAGATAATAGTTTCTGAATTTCGGAATGAGATGTATGATGTAAGACACAGGTAATCAAATTAAATCCTGTTTCTCTTTTTACTTAATCATGTGCAGTGTAAGAAAGAGTTAATGCTTTTAATGTTAACCATATAGATTTATAAAATTCCATCAAACCACTCTACTTTCAGTGTAGGCATTGGAGAAACATAAATAAGAGGTTCTTTAAGAAGGTTGAGGTTTTTACTGAAGTCTGTTGTGGGGAGAGTTCAAGGACACAGAAGTTGTATGGTGTAGAAACTATACCAAGGAGGGAACTAGTATAGACCTAGCCAAATTAAGAGGGGATCCTAGAGAAGGAACATTGGCATTCCTTACCCACAATTAAACTCTGAAAGTGATTTACAGAATTTATAAAAAGCTTTGTTTTCCTTCGATGACCCTAACAAACCTCAAAAGCACAATACCTGAACTGACTTATTTGTTAACTACTGGCCAGTCAGTGAGCCAGCCACAGTGGTGTTCACCTGTAGGCCCACCTACTTAGTAGACTGAAGAAGAATCCCTTGAGTCTAGTGGTTTAAGGCCAGTATAGGCAACTTAGCCAAACCCGTCTCGAAAAAGAAAAAAGATTTATCTGTATATTCTCAGATCCCATTTTAAAATCCATTTCCCATCTCCATGTTTTCTTATAAACCCTTTGTGTGTGAGTGTGTGTTTTAATAAGCTTAATGCCATGTTCTGCACATTTGAGTAAATTTGCATGTCTTTTTAAAAATTCTTTATGGGCTTTGATGAAATTGGATAAGATACATATGTAGTTTAAATGAAGAAGTCATCAAGTCATATGATGTAAGTTGGTCAGGGAAGAATTCAGAAAAGAGATGATAACTGCTCAGTTTTTTAACTGGTGAGTTTGTCAAGTGACAGAAAAGGCTAATTGCCTTCTAGGTAAATAAAATACTATGTGAAAGATGCATGAAGGCATGACATTGTAAATTATTTTCCTAAAAAATAGCATTTGGAATTTTTATAGGAGGGAATAGATTAAAAGAGAGATAAGGCACAAAATCGGTAAGACTTATTAATTAGAAGAGAAGGAAAAATCAAGAATGACTTTTAGATTTCTTGCTAGAATAACTAACTGAATGATATGCTATCAAGTGATTTAGAGAGAAGTATGAGGGGAAAAAGTAAATTTGTCAAAAGTACATAAAGTCCTGTTTTGAAGTGTTGATTTTGAACTATAGGCTATAGATAAGTATTTGGGAGTGAGGAGTAAAGTGTTTTCTCCTTCTTCCTGAAAATTTAACCTATGTTTATCTTCAGCTCTGATCCCAGGTTTCTAAAACCTGATAAAAATGAAATTTCATTTGTGCTACCAGACAACATTATTTAATGATAAAAATGACCCATGACAGGTTAGTGTGACTGGACTGGGAGAATTTGGCACACCTGGTATGCATGACGACTCCTATAATCAGCTATTTTCCTTATGAAGAACTTATAAAGTTGTTATGAGAGATAGTGACTTCTGTGAGGAATATTCTTCAACTTGCACTGTCATTTTGGAACCAAGAAAGAATAGTCCGGAAGAGCTGTACCAATTGCTCTATGAACTGCCACAGGGACCCCTGTGAAGGGGAATGCCTGGAATTGCCCTGCTCGCACACTGTGTTTTCTGGCCTATGTGATTTCCAGTTGCTTATAACGTGTTGGATTTGAGGGGTGCAAATGTGAGCTAAGTTTATGTTGTATGATATCCCTTGTTTTGGAAGTTGGTGAGTTCATATGCTGAGAACTGGATCTCAGGAGTTGGGTGGAAGGCTTGGGGATTATCTGATTAAGGGTTTAGACTAGTTACCACAAATCTGAGAGGGAGCTGAATCAAAGTCCTCCAGAGGCTGCAGGATTTTTCACTATTAATGTGTGTTTATTTATAGATGTCAAAGGAGAATGTGTCCTGATGGATTAATACTATAATAAAGGTTTTTAGGACAGAAGAAGAGGAAGGAAGGAGTGAAGATGCTATTGAGAGAATAGTTCAAAGAAAGCGAGGTCCGGGGAAAATGTTTAGGTCAGCCTGCATAAGACTAGACAGCAGGTTTGACATCAGTCTGGCAGGATGGGATAGAAAGCTGTGGTAAGACAGAAATTTAGAGTTTAATGAAAAGAGGTACTGGTGGTAGTAAATCCATGTTTTGACTTCAAGAGTAGGTTGCTGAAGCACAGAGTTGTTGAAATTAGTGGAAGAAGTTAGATTCTAGTTCTTTTTATTGACAGGATATTGACAAGAGTCCTGAATATATTTAATATTATCAACTCTAGTTGCCTCATGCACACATTTTGAAGGATTTATTTTTGTATGTGTAAATAACTTTGGCAGTGTAAATTGTGATTCAAATGCTAAATTTAAAACTTGGACATGTTATATTAATGTAAAAAAGAATAGTGAAATACTAGTAGAATATCTGCATGCATCAGATAATTAAGACTCATTTCATTCATTTAAGCTTACATTAGATAATGAAGGTACCTAGCAATATGCCTAGCTCCCAGGGAAGCAGATAGTCAGGAACTATGTAGTTCCCCTTTTTATCAAAAGAGACACTTCTTTTTAGCAATAGTAAAAGCTGCTGGGCTACACATCCTTCCAGTACTCACCCATAACCATGTCTGCATGTATTCTCTTACCTCTTTCTCAATAAAAGACGTGTTTTTTTCTCTCTAATGCTGTTCTGTTTGTGCTCAGAATCACATACTTTCTTGCTTGACTTGTGAACTCTTTTTAAAAAATAACTCCTCAGCCACACACTTTCCATTGACTTCTTATCTCTTTAAACATAGGTCAGACTCTTCCTAAGGTATACTTTGCACTCAGTATTTTGAGGCACTACTCTCTGCTCCTAAAATATTCATTATATTCTCCAGTTATTTTTTTGTTGCCATCTCTAAAGGAAATACATATATATTTTTGTATATATATTTACTTAGGCATTAGATACTATTAGATACACCTTACTTAAATCTTTTACCCCTTTTGTTATTATGACACCATTTTCTTGATTGGTCTACCTAGTAGATGCTTCTTGACCTATTTTGTAGGCTTTTCTTCATCTACTCCTTTCATTAAGGTGCTTCTGCCATCTATGTTCATGGTCTCCTCTCTTATTCTCACTATGTATTCTTAATATATTCTTACATTTGTAGACATTAAAAATGTGCCAGGTTTTAAGCATGTTTTTTCCTGTACTTTAAATTTGATTATGGTATTTTTCCTTTTACTCAGCTATTAGAAATGACATTATTAAGTGATTTTATAAAGCCTAATTAGGATCATAAAATTATTTTGTCCTGGAACTTCTTTTACCAGTGAAGCCCATATGCTACCTTCAATTTTATGCATAGTTTTCCTCTGCCTTTTGTGTCTTCTTCAGGCTTTCTACCTAGCTTGGTGTGGTCAGCCCGTTTCATAGTATCCTTTCCTTGTTGCCTTCCACTGACATCTCATTGCTAATGTCTTTTCTGCTTTGACTTCTGAACTAATTTTATAACATCTTTCAACCTCCTCCAATTGATAGTAATGTAATTAGTTGTAACATAATTAATTATGAAGTAAATCCCTCTTAAGGATAGCAAAAGGAAAGCATGGTGGCAAGTTGGTGCCGTAGAGCAAACTGTTATAGCAGCTCCATCTAATGATGGTATGTGCTTGCTCAGATTTCACCAGAATCTCCTACTGCCTCCTCCTCTCATAGTCTCCTCTTCCCTTTCCGTTATCTCCTTGGTTTCTACTTTGTTCCATTGATATTGCTTCGCATTTTCTAGAGCATCCACTCCTTGTTCTTTGCTTCCACTTGTTTCTCCTTCCACTTGAATTCTATCCTAATAAGGCCATTTAGCTCTCAGTATCTCATTTCTGTTTTCCTTCATTAGGAAAACTCTGCAAAAGCAGATGTCTGTATCTCCATATTCTTTCTTCCCCTTTAATCTTGAACCTATTCCAGTTCTTTTGTCTTTATTTTTTATACTAGGGATTGAACTCGGGGGTACTTTACCACTGAGCTACATCACTAGCCCTTTTTATATTTTTATTTTGAGACAGGGACTCACTAAGTTGCTGAGGTTGGCCTAAAACTTTTGATCTTTTGCCCCAGCCTCACATGTCGCTGGGATTACAGGTACTCGCCAAAGTGCCAGGCTTCAGCACACCTTACAGTGCTGAATTTGATAATCAGTTTTTACTATATTTACTGACTTGAATTATTAGCAGTATTTGGATTTGTTGATCATTTCATTCTTCCTAAAACACATTTTTCACTTGGTGCCCAGGACTATGCACTTCTGATTTTCCGAATTCCCCAAGTGTTCTGTTTTAGTATTTTTGCTTTTTCCTCCTCACCTCTGACTATATCAGCATTCCATACCTCTCCTTAGAGTATGTATTATTTCTCCTGAAGTGAACTCACCCATTTTGATGGCTTTAAATACATACGATTACCGAACGACATCTCTACTTGGCTCTTTTTTCTGAATTTTCCACTTAGATGTCCCTAGGCATTCCAAATGTAACAGGTCTAAAAGTCAAACTCCTGATTTCCACCCTGAAACCTGCTCCTATAATCCCTTCCTTTTCATTTTTCCATTCCCAAGCCAAATATCCATCATTTTTGACTCAGCTATGCCACACCTTGTTGGCTGAACATTAAAAATCTATGCAGAGTCTGAATACTTGTAGCTTCCATTCTTGTTCATGCCATCCTCATGTTTCACTTGAATATTGCAGTCAATTCTGGTTATCCGACACCACAGTCTTAGGACAGCAGTCAGATCCTGTCATTTTTCTGTACAAAGCACCATAAAACTTCATCTCTTTCCTTTATCAAAGGCCCATGTGATTTGCCTTCCCACCATGTTTCCTCTCTTGAATCTATAAGGGTTCTCCTTGACTGTTTAGTCTGCCACTGCGCACTGGCTACATGGTCTTTCCTATGTACTTTTCAGAGCCTTTGCAATTGTTCTTCCCCATGAATCTCTCATTTGCTCAGATGTCTGCCCAGTGAGGTTTTTATTGCCTGTGTTTGTGTGTGAGCAAGCATTATGTTGCAACCTTTGCCTCCTTTTTTCCTTATATTTTCCTTTAACAAAATGTAAGCTATGCTCCATGAGAAGCTTTTTTGTTTTTTGTTTTTCTTTTTAAGGATCGTGTTTTAGAAACCAGGGATCAGAGATGGAAATAAACAAGTAAGCATAGGTTAGATTCTTATGCAGAGAGAAAACACTTTATCCCTAACTCCCAAATACTTATGTCTAGCCTAAAGGTTCTCTACTGTCTGGAATAGCACCTTGCACATAGTTAGGTGCTCAGCAAATACATGTTGAATTAATGCATGAAGACGTATAAAACATATAAAGGTGTTGACTTGTTTTGAAATCCTAGGACTGACTAAAAACTCTTAAGAATACTATAGTTGCTTCCCTTCAGTAACTTATTGATTCAGTACCTACTGTTCTTAGTATGTTCATCTTTCAATGCTCTTAATAGCTCATGTGTTTCAAATTTAATTGAAAGATTGAATGTCTCTTACGGATCCCAAATTTCAATTTGTAAGAATATCTTTTCTCTGTTGATAATAAACTTTACTTCATTTTTTTATTGTTTTGTATCAGTAGAACAATTGTGTAACTATTAAAGATGTATTTTAATTCACTGTGCTCCATCATCCTATATAGAATTGAGAACTTGGGACTTAATGGATCTTAATTAATTAACTTATGTTTACGTATGATTACAGTGGGAGATTTAAGGAAATTTTAACCATTATAATAAGCAAAAGGGCTTAAAGGTTAAGAATACAAATTCTAAAATCTATACTGCCTAGTTAAAGTCCTTGCACAGTCTTATTCGCTAGTGTTATAACAATAGGGAACTTAAACTCTGAAACATCCTCATCTGGGAAAAAAAATGGAGAGAATGATTAAGTAATAAGCTTAGCACAGTGCTTAGCACATAGCATTATATAGATATTAACTAAGTAAATTTTTAGATTTAGATTTTTAAATTTAACTAAGCAGGTATGTTTACAGATGTTATCAGATATTTTTTCATCTGATTATCTTTCCCATTAAATATATACAATTTTTACATATATAAAATTTACACACATATTTATAATTATAAAGTTTGTTAAGTTTTGTCTCTTTTATCTCCTAGAGCTGCTCATCATCCAGAGTTCCCAACAGTTCTGACAGCTTTAGAAATAGATAATGCAGTTGTTGCTAATAGCCTAATCGACATGAGGGGCATAGAGACAGTGCTGCTAATCAAAGTAAGACCAGATGCTTGTTGTATTTTATGTTACTTTAAAATTTTCAAAACTCAAGGTGGTTTTATAAACTCCTTTCTTTATCATGAAAAACTTTATGTTTCACCATTTTACTTTACGCTAGAAAAACCTATAGGGTAATATAGAACTAATTGGCTTGTATGTTTTTTTGCCTCGGGTAACTTTATAACTTTGGACTATTCTTTGTGAAATAATGTCACAAATAAATATTGTTCTTTTGGTACACAGTACTGTAACATTTTTGGTTCATTTTTTTCTTGATTTGCTGCCAAGTTCATTTTTTATTTGCTTATATATATTTACCTATACAAGTGTGTGTGTATACATGTATACATCTATATACACACACACACACATATATATATATATATATATATATATATATATATAAAACTCTAACTTTTAAATAAAGTACTTGATATTTTGTAAATTTTTTCCTATACCTTTGTGCTCTGTGAAAATTAAATGATACTTACTTTCCAACTGTACATGTATTTTTGTATACTTGTTAGATTAGATCATCATATTTTGTCTTATCTATTGACAAGTTGCTGAGCAGCGGGCAGGAAATTTAAAACAGAAATCTGTAATTGAGACAACCTAATTGTTTCTCATTAATGGAAATTTAAAAATAAAGGTTTTGATATCCCAGATATGTACCCATGAACATTTCTACTATAATTGTGAGTTTGGCTCTCAGGTTTTAGAAATATACTTGAAAATAAATAACGAAGCCTTGCTCAGAAAGTCTGTCCCTAGAGAGGTTTATGAGGCCTTGAGTAAGCCTCATCTTCTTTTTATTTCCTCGAGGGCTTAAGTATTTCCAGGCTTTCTCTATATAATTTCATATGCTGATCTTTTCTTAAATTTTGCTAGCCATTCATAGCATTTAGAAAAACTTATTGTATGAACTTTTCTAAAGTAAATGTATTTATGTGAAAAGTTACTTAAAATAACTTAATTTGAAATGGATGTGAATATTAGAATTTAAAAATAAAGTCTACCAATTTATCATAAAGCATTTTTTCAGTTGTTTAGTGACTATATATAGTTTTAATTCCTTGAATCTGGAACTTGTTTTTGAAATTTTTATGTTAACTTCATGACATTGCATTTGAACGTTCAAAAAAACTTGAATTATATTAAAATAATAAAGACAGGTAATATTTTAAAATTGTGCCTATTGGAAATTCTTTGACATTGTTTTAAAAATGTATTTTCCCCCCTCTATTGTTCTAGAATAATTCTGTAGCTCGTGCAGTTATGCAGTTTCAAAAGCCACCCAAAAATTGTAGAGAAGCTTTTACTGCTGATGGTGACCAAGTTTTTGCAGGACGTTATTATTCATCTGAAAATACACGACCTAAGTTCCTAAGCAGAGATGTGGATTCTGAAATAAGGTTAGAGTCAAGTTTATCTTTATTGCATTATTCCCACTTCCTTTGAGCTTCAGTTTCATTCATTAAAGTTATTTAAACAACGAACTGTAACTTATCTTGGTGTTAGCTTCTTATAAGATCCTTTAAGTAGATGTGAAATTATGGGTTGACTGTGATCCCAGTGGCTCTGGAGGCTAAGACAGGAGGATGGTGAGTTGAAAACCAGTCTCAGCAATGGCGAGGCACTAAATAACTCAGTGAGACCCTGTCTCAAAATAAAATATAAAATAGGGCTGGGGATGTGGATCCGAGGTTGAGTGCCCCTGAGTTCAATCCCTGGTTACTCCCCACCAAAAAAAAGAAAGAAAGAATAAAAATGTAAATGAGCTATATCACTGTGTCTACCATTTCGTTCTGCTGATTTTTCTCAGGGTCATTTGCTGGTTTCATTGTGGCTAATGCTCCTTATCATGTCTCTGACTGGTACTCTGAGTTGTACCATTCTAGAAAGAACATCAATCAACACAGTTAGAACATATGCCTAGAAAACTAGAGCTATTAAAGGAGACAAACTGAGAAATTATATAAAAAACTAATAATGTACTTAATGAGATTTAAGAGCATGCATGAAGAATTTTTGTACCATAAATAATCATGATTTCTGACCTGAATTAATTCAGTTGATAAATGGATAGGTTGTGCCTGTATTAATGACTTAAGTGTAACACAGAATATAAATAAAAGAAATATTTAAGAAAATGGAGCAACGTATTCTAAATGACTTGTATGTTTAGGGAAAATGAGAGTTTAGTTGCAATAGTTCAGTATTATTTTCAACTAATACTCATCATTTTAATGTGAAAGCAGCGTAAAATAACAAGTACTGAAAGGTTTAGTAAAACTTATTATTTAGCAACAGAAAAAAGTTGAAGGACCAGCAGCTTGAGTGCTGTGACATTGGTTTTATTCATTATCCCAATGTGGTTTTGAGTTATAAAAGTACATATAATACGTAAGCAAGCTTTCAGAATAATTACTAGTATAATTACTAATTTTATAAAAATATTGTCTACCTGGGCTTGGGAGTCTGATGCAAGAGCTGCAAGATCAAGATTAGCCTGGGTGACTAAATAGAAACAGAACTCAGTGGTACAACACCCCTGGGTTCAATCCCCAGTACCCATCTCCCCCCCCCCCCCAAAAAAAAAGTTACTTCTTCCATTTTTTTAAGTTGTCAAAATAATAACATTTTTATAGACTTTTAAAAGTCTGTTTTTCAAATTTTTTTCTTTCATTTGTTCAGACAACAAATATTTAGTGATCACCCAACGTGACCTACCATGCCATGCGCTAATCTAGGCACAAAGTTCATCTGAAAACAGAGTACACAGAAATTCTCTCTTGGAGCTTGAATTAAGCAAGGGGAAGTAAACTACTTGAAAGCCAGGTCAGGTTAGATGGTTATCTGCTGTGGAAAGAGACAAAGCAGAGTAGGAATTGGGAATGAGGTACATACTCAGGGAGCGTGCTGGTCCCACACATACAACTCACATACGTAGCTTGGGTTTAGTATATCTTTCAGTAGGTAGCAAATGTTCTTTCTCCACGTAAGACTGAATTAAAAACTAAAGAGCAGCACTGTACAAAAATGGTAATAATTAGTCCTATCTAGAAAGAATGAAATTGTCATATTCAGCAGTTTTTTGAATGAGTTATGTTGGTTTCTTGAATTTTTGCTGATGCTCAGAACATTGTATAACATTAGTCTTTGATCATTTTGTTTTTATTTTTTGTTTAGTCTCAAGGTTCCATATTTGTTTACTTAGTAAATTTTGGTTTTAGCAAAATATCTGTTAGTTAATAATGATGTAGATTTGTTTATGATGAAGTAAATATTTTATATTAGATGCTTAGGAGCCATATTAAAGCTTTGCATCTGGCTCCATTTTTATCATTCATCATTTATTCGGCTGACATTTAGTGAGTTTTCTTTTAATTTGAAATTGTACCAAGGTAGAATTTTATATACCAGTATATAGTTTATGTACTGTTTTACCTAGCAACTGAAAGGAACAAAGGGCTGGTGATATTGAAGCATGGACTGAAAAATTGTTTCAAATTTCAGAGGTATTAAAATGTGGGAAAATATGCATTTCAGTGTAATTCGGCCAACTCTCTCAACCAGGAAAAAGTTGTTCATAACTGCAAAGATGGTTTTCTGTCTCTAGGCACACAGGTTTCAGACAGAAGATTGGATCAGTCAGGCAGGGAAAGATTGCTTCCAAAGCCACTTGACTCTGTTGCCTCCTTATGCATTCTTGGCATATTTCTTTTTTCCCACAAACTGAAAATGTTGAGCTGTTACATCCGTTTTCATCACTCTGCCTTTGTGTATTTTTTGTTGTTGTTGTTGTTTAATTCTCCCCTAGTTGACAGAGCTTATAAAAGCTTTAAAGAATGCAATAAAGTTGTCTCTTCTCTCACACACACTTTTGTGTTTCCATAGTTCTATGGATATGTAGTACTAGTACTCTCACATTTACATTTTCGTGTGACAGTTTTTTCCTGGTTTTATTGCTTTTGAGGAATCATGTCTTAATTCTGTTTCTACCTCTTCCTATTACTGTGCACACATTCATAGCACATGTGAGACATATTGTTAAGGAAATAAGTAAAACTTGACTCCAGTTTAGGAGATAATCACATTTCTGTTATAATAGATTTGTATTTTATTAATAATTTGTTCAAATTATAAACTGGTTTAGTGGAAGAGGATTTTGTAAACAAGTTATTACAAATAAGCTTTTCTGTAACAATCTAAAATATTTATTATATTGAGAAATAGATTGAAAGTACTTTTTCATCTTCTCTTGATCAAGTGACTTGGAAAATGAGGTTGAAAATAAGAAGGCCCAGATAGTAAATCTTCAGCAGCATCTATCTGCCCTTGAAAAGGATACTCAACACAATGAAGATCTTCTTAAAAGATGCCAACTACATTATAAAGAGTTAAAGGTAAAAAGCAAAACATAATTTTGTTTTTCTCATTTTAACACTTTAAAGTTTATTTTGGAATTTTGTCACTTCAAGTAGTTCTTAAACGCTTTGGCCCCCAAGCCCTTACATTCTTAAATGAGCTTTCATTTATGTGGATTATATCTATCAACTTTTATACCTTTAAAAATTAAAGTAAAATTTTTGGCTAAGTGTAAAACTAAGAATATTTAATAATGAATTTAAAATAATATGAAAAATATATTCTTCAAAACCAAAAAGATTTAGTGAGAAGATTGGCATTTTTAGATTTTTGTAATTTCTAATGTCTGTTTTTATAAAATTCACTTGATTTATGTCAATTTTTGCATTCAGACCCTTGTGATATTATAAATCACAGCCATCTGTACAATTATGAGAAAATGCTCATAAGAGTGATAAATTATGCTTTAGTGTTTTTATGAAAGTAATTTTGACCATGAAGACTTTCTTAAAGGGTCTGGGGATGCCTGAGGGTTACTTGAATCTTAGTTTGAGAATCACTAGGTTAGAGTAATTGAGAGTTTGTGTGTTTCAGAAAAATACTTAGTGTACTCAAAAATGTCATCATTTTAAAATTCTAAGATGGATTAATTTTATGTTTATTGTGTGTGGGAACGGATTAGCAATGAGAATGATGATGGAAGAATTTATTTCTTTCTAACTTCCTTTGGTTTGTTTATTACTAAGGTACCCCTTTTGTCAATTATGGGATCTTTCTGGGTCATATAGCTTTATGGATTAATGCATTCATTATCTTTTCCAAGTGTTTTCTCTCTTCCTTCTTCCTCTTCCTCTTCTTCTTCTTATGTTATTAAATTCTGAATGCTTTCCTTTCAGATGAAAATAAGAAAAAGTATTTCCGAAATTCGGGAACTTGAGAATATAGAAGAACACCAGTCTGTAGATATTGCAACCTTGGTAAAATTCATCTCTTCAGTTGAATATAATGTTAATCAATAAAATTGTCATATAGGTTAATGGCCATCAAATCTCAGCTTTTTTTTAATCCTTCAGTTAAAGCTACTTTTTATGATTGATATCTCCACTCATAATTATGTTAGAAACTAACTGAACTTCAGGCATGTTTTGTGTAGATAACTTTTATGCATAGTTGATTTTGTCTTCTGCTACATGAAATAAAAACTTCATCACAAACTTAATTATGCTTCTGTACAGTGGCCCATTTAGGCACTCTCAGTTAAACAGCATCAGTACAAGTGGACAGAGATGGCAATACCACCTTTGAGTCAGTCATATTTTCTCTCTGCCTTTCCTTCATTGTTTTCTTTTTTCCTAAGTTAATGGCTCCCATTTTAATTCTCCATGTATTCGTTATTCTGTATTTATCTTGTTCCAGCATCCATTTATGACATTCAGCTTATTTTTTTCTGAGCTGCAGTAAACAGTAAGATAAATTTTGCATCTTGTTAAAAAATAGCCACTGTTTGTCAAGTGTCTGTCTGCCTATCTGGCAGGATATTAAATGTTGAAAAATAAGCAGTGAACAAAGCAGCAAAGTCCCATGCTGACAGAACTTCATTCTCATGGCACTTGCTATGGCTTTTTACTAGAAATGTTTCCACTTTTTATTTTTCTGCTTTTAATACCTTTTATTGATAGATTAAATTTCATGAAGGCATGGACTATGTCTTCAGTTTGGTAACACCTAACACATTGTGTGGCATAAGGTAAATATATTTATATGTACACCCTTTTTAAAAAAAGGTTAGTAGACAAAAGTTAGTCCTTTTGATTATGATCTCAAGCAGAATATCATTTGACTTATCTACTAAATATCTTTCCTTCTTATTTTTGAACTTCTTTTTTTTTTTTTTACTTTCTAATTTACCATTAAGGATATGAAAAAATTCTCATGTGTTTATCTTTGATACGATTTGTCTATAGTCTGTAGTTTCTTCTCACAGAATTGTTTCTTTTTTTTCCCCCCTGTTTGATAAAAGTCTATTAACTCTGTAATCTTTAAATGTTATCAGGAAGATGAAGCTCAAGAAAATAAAATAAAAATGAAAATGGTTGAGAAAAACATGGAGCAACAAAAAGAAAATTTGGAACATCATAAAAGTCTTAAAGTAGAAGCAGAAAACAAGTATGATGCAATTAAACTAAAAATTAATCAGCTGTCAGAGCTAGCAGATCCACTTAAGGTATTTATCACTGTTATCCTATTTGTTCTATACTTTATGTTTTAGTTTTATATCCAAAGTGTTCTTATGGATATTACCCTGTCAGAATTATTGATTAAATGTAAATATAACCAGATTATGAATATATATAATTTATTGTATAAACATAAACACATGTTATAAGTGGTAGGAACCAGATTGTCATCATTTTTCAATTACTATAAAACACCTTTGCCTGTAGGAGAATAAACCACTAGATTTCTCTCTATTTCCTCCCCACAATTATTGCTTTTGTTGCCTCTTTATTTTGTGATATATTTTTTTTTCCAGGACCAAAAGTTAGGGACATTTTACACATTTATACCGTTACTTGTGCTCACCTGCTCTTTTGTCGCTCCTTTCCTTTAATAATGGATTAATTGCTGTAAAACACAAATTGAAATAAAGTCCTACCCAACTCCTGTTTATCAGCATATCAGTACATACCAGGCTAAAGTCAGTTAATTTTTTGTTTTTAGCATAAGCTCTTTGAGACTACATTTAAGGAAATGTAAGTATTTAACAAGTAAAGTTTCCATCTTGCTAAATAGCTTAGTTCTCAAGTAGCTTATTGTCATTATATTTATGAATAACTCATTTCAGAACCTCAAATTTGATTTATGAGACTCTGAGAAGAGATAATAATGTATTTTTAAGGGAGAAATTTATATTGATATCACCCTAATTTTCAGGGAAATTGCCCCTTGAATCAAAATGTATTTAGATATTTTTAAAATTTAAAAGAATTTACAGTATAGGAACTTTACTTGTCTTCATTGAAAATTTTAGGAACGTAATTTGGAGAATTGAGAAAAGATGTGAGGGAGTTGGAGGAGAACTGCCCAGAACAGCTCTTCCCTGTGGTGTTGGTGGTTTTCCTGCAGCTGTCTTATGTTTAACTGGGATTCCTACCTGCCTCTATAACCTAAGGAGACTGAACTTCTTTCTTTTTAGGCTGAGAAGAATAAAAAGAGAAAGGAGGCTGATAAATGAGTGAAGAGGATTATAAAATTTAACTGCAGAGTAGAAAGAAAGAAAAATATTCAAAATAATATTGAGAAAGATAAATGAGAAAATAGTTACTATAAGAAGCAAGAATTAAAAAGACTAAATATTTAAGAATAGAGAATAATATAAGCTTAGTTTTTAAAAGAAAATAAATAGAATAAGTAAACATTAAGAATTTCAATAATAGGGACTGGGGATGTAGCTCAGTTGGTAAAGTCCTTGCCTCACATGCACAAGGCCCTGGGTTCAATCCCCAGTACCAGTAAAAAGAAAAAAAAAAAAAAAAAAAGAATTTCAATATTAGGAAAAGTTAAATTAATTCAGGACTCCAGAGTTAACAGTGAAATTATTTTAAAAAGAAAAATTGAACATTATACCCATAGATAATTAAAATAGGGTTACTTAATCAAAATGATGTACTCAATACAGAAAAGAGCAAACTTAGCATGTAAATTATTTGTTTCAGGTAAAGTAAAAATGAGAAATGATGAGGAATAGCTATTTTTCTGTGTGTTGTCTTGTTTTGTGTTTGTTTTTTTGCAATGCTAGGGATGAAACTGAGGACCTCATTTCTGCTAGGCAAGCACTCCATCACAGGGTTACATACCCCAGCTGTATTCTGTTCTTTTAGGGATTTCTAGGTTAAAGCAGTTCTTGGATCTAGGAGTAGTCCTTAAATAAGTTCAAGAGCAGAAACTGGGCAGAAGGCAATAAGAATTCTTGATCTTAGCTCTTAACCTTGGCTGCAGATCATTGAAGGTAGGAGGTGGGTCCTTCAGTAAACTTGCATGTAATTAGCCAGGAGACTTTTTCCTTCTCTATGTCAGGACACACTAGCTGTCAAGAACAGTCTGACCAAGAGGATTTAGGTAATAAAATAATGTGATTCCTCAGAATATTCCATCACAATATATTAGCACCTTCCAGATATAATCATCTTTTTGCGATTAGGATTTTCATTTTATGATGAGGGGTAGTACAGATGTAGAGTGCTGTACTTAAATATGTAGTCATTGAAGTCTTAGCCTAGGGACTGCCCCCCTACACACACACACACACTTTGAACAGTTAGTTATTTTGATGTACACTTGCGAACATAGTGCTTTTGTTATAAATTAAATCCTTTGTACAGGAAATGGCATCTGCATTCAGCCTGTGAACATACATTGTCTGTAGGAGGGTCTCTTGATTTCTGATGTGGATAGTTATTTCCTTTTCTGAATATCTGTTTTCTTTTATGATATCCTTTGGGATTGTTTATTTCTGTCTCTGTATAGCTATGATTCTTGATGCTAAACATGATGATTATGGTATATTTGACCAATATCAGCTGAAGTATACATACAAGTGAACTGATTAAACTAACTAAAATTTATTTGGTGGTTCTTATCAGTAGCCTTTAAAAAGTCATTTTATTGAGATAACTGATGTACAATAAATACACATATGTAAATGTACAATTTGGTAAGTTTTGACATCTATAAACCTGTGAAACTTTCCCCACAATCAGAAAAAAGGACATAATCTTTCATGCCCTTAAGTTTCTTATGTTCCTTTTTAATCTCTCCCTCCCTGTTTCCTGACCCTTATATTTAGATAGCCACCATTTCATTTCTATTACTGTAGTTTGTGCATTTTCTAGGATTATTTTCACTAGTCCCCACTAAACCACAATTTCACTTACTTTGGTTTCAGTTACCCTGGTCAACTGCAGTCCAAAATACTACTTGTATTGACTCAAGAAAGAGACCACATTGACATTATGTATATTGTTATAATTATTCTTTTGTTATTAATCTCTTGTGCCTAGTGTGTAGTAAAAACATAGCAATATAAGGTTAATTAATGTCCATGGGGTTTTGGAATATATCCCCACAAATTAAGAGGGCACCACTGTATCCAGCATTTACATTATTTTAAGTTTTTTTAAGGCAAATGATTCTCTATAAACTACCTTATTTACAAAAAATATAATTGAATGTATCATAACGTATGGAGACTTCTTATAAAAAATTGGATATAAAGTGATTTCTTAATTTTGGGAAACACCTTACTTCAGACATGTTGTGAACATAAACTCTTAATCCTTTATTCTTCATGCAGCATAATCCTACCCATTTTACTGAGTTGTTAATTTTATATCTGGACTGGAAAATTTTTTAAAAGTAATCTTTATAGATTGTTTTGTTTTTATTCAAACAGGATGAATTAAACCTTGCTGATGCTGAAGTGGATAATCAAAAACGAGGGAAGCGGCATTATGAAGAAAAACAAAAAGAACACTTGGATACCTTAAATAAAAAGAAACGAGAACTGGACATGAAAGTAAAGGAGCTGGAGGTTAACCATAACTTTTTAAATTTCATGTTTATCTTTTTATTGTAGCCTTACTCATGATTATTAAAGTGTATTTTCTTTAATGTCATGTTTCTGAAAACAGACAAATGTTGAATTTCTGTCTTTTATAGATTAACAGGTGTTTGGATGAATCACCACAAGAAGAGGCTTAGGGACCCTCAAAGTGTGAGGACTGAATAGACAAGACTCCTTCTATCCCATAGCAGTATACATGGCTGATAAAATGGCACTCACCTGGCTAATATAGCTGCCTACTTGGCCAGCATACTATCAGAAAAAGGCACCCCTTCATTTGAGACTCTGGGGTGTGGGTTGGGCTCCACTTTAGCTCCTGTCAGTCACACTTGTTGACAACTAAGCAGCAACCTTGACTTTAGGGAATAAATTGAAGCTAGTCTTGTAACTAGATGGATTCCAGTTTTGCTTTTATAATCTTAAGGAAAACAATTTAATCATTTCCCTATTTGTACTTGTAATAGAGAAGGTTTTGAGTATAAAATAAGTGTTGTATGTAAAAGTTCTTCTTATTTTTGCATTATTTACAAATAATAGGGTCTTTTGGTGTGTGTGCTTTTAATACCATTGGTGTTCAGATTGCATCGTAAAGCACATGGAAAGTTGTGTCAGACCTCAGGTCCTTGGGTGCTGACTTTTTGTCATTGCTCTTTTAAGTTTATATATAGTGAATGTAATACTCTGTTTTTTTTTTTGTTGTTGTTATTAGTTATAGGTGAACACAATGTCTTTATTTTACTTATGTGGTTCTGAGGATCGAACCCAGTGCTAGGCGAGTGCTCTACCTCTGAGCTACAACCCCAGCCCTGTAATATTCTCTTGAAGATTTATAACAGCTCTGAACTATGTCCTTAATATCAAGTTTACTTATATAACGTTGATATTAAATGTAATTAAAATACAAATATTGAACGTAAGTTCAGAATTTTATTTTTCATATTTTGGCAAAAATGGTATAATGAATTATCTTATAAAAGAAGAATGTTAAATATACTGAAGTTTAGTTTAATTGCACATACCTATAATCCCAGCTACAAAAGAGGCCCAGGCAGGAAGATCATGAGTTCAATCCCAGCTTGTTCAGGCAACACAATGAGATCCTGTCTCAAAAACAAAACAATAAAAAGATGTTAAACTCCTGTATTCTTAGGAGAAAATGTCACAAGCAAGACAGATCTGCCCAGAGAGAATAGAAGTAAAAAAGTCTGCATCAATTCTAGACAAGGAAATTAATCGATTAAGACAAAAGATACAGGCAGAACATGCTAGTCATGGAGATCGAGAGGAAATAATGAGGTAAGAGTGGTTGATAGCTTTTCTGGTTTATTATATAATCCAGACATATTATCAAGACATTAAAAAAATGTTTATAGGTCTTTCATTTTTGGATGAAGTGTTGCTAAGGCATATAGTTGTAGCTGAACTAGTTTGTGTGTGGGTGTAGACTAGGAAATGGATTCTGGGACCTCATGCATGCTATGCTTTGCCACTGAGCTATACCCCAACCCTGAACTAGTGAGATAATCCTTAGTAAACAAAATAGGTAGGAAAGATGTATATTAGTTATTATTACTGTCTTTAAAAGAAGCATTTAAGCAACGTGTGTCTAAATGTTGAAATTTCAACAGAGCCAAGTTATTTTGTTGCTATAACAAAGTATAAAATAGAACAAAGTTTGTGTTTAGATGTTTATTATATTATTTATTAACACCGGAAAATTAAAAATAGTGTGCAACTGTTGAAGAATGGTTAAATTACAGAAAATTGCAGCTGTTACACCATGAAACACTTCTCATGTTAAAAAAAAAAAAAAAGATTGAGAAAACAGGAGCAATTTGTCAGATGTCACTAAATCCCCTCCGTAGGTTGGGAACTATTTTTGCATTTGCGCCAACATTGCATGGGAGGATGCTTTCCTGCGACCTTGCCAACAGAATATATATAAAGTTTATAAGTTGTTTTCCTGACCTTTGACTAAAAAATAGTATGTTTATGTAGTTTTAATCACACTCCATCATTATGAATAAAATCAAAATATTTTTCATATATTTAAAAACTATTTTTATACCTTGATTTATCTGTTCTTTCCCACTTTTTTAAGCATTTTAAAAATCTTTTTCCCTTAAATTTTAAGAGCATATTTAGATAATATGGATGAGAAATACTAGCTATGTGTTGCTAGTATTTTTCTCAGTTCATCATTTGTCTTTGAGTTTTTTAAATTGGGATGGTTTCTTTTTTTTTTTTTATTGCCATAAAAAGATCATTTAGTTCATTTTGTTATTATTTTATTGTATCTGGATTTGGTGTAATTTTATTTTACTTTTTTGTTATCAGAGTGAACCCAGGAACACTTAACCATAAGTGTTAACTAAGCCATATCCCCAGCACTTTTTATTTTTTATTTTGAAACAATGCCTCAATAAGTTGCTGAGGGTAGCTTGGAACTTAGGGATTCTCTTCAGCCTCTTAAGTCACTGGGATTACAGGCTTGCGGCACCGCTCCTAGCTTGGTGTCAAATATTTTAAAAGCCTTTCTCTACATCTAAATTATGGAAGCATCCACCTATGTATTTTTATAACTTACATATATTCTTTTTTTTAATATTTAGATTTTTGCTCTATTTGGAGTTTATTCTTGTGTTTAGTGTGAGGAATGGATTTTTTGTTTTTCAAATGCATCCATTTGAAAAGTTGTTCTGTTTCCTACAAAATGGCACATATGAGTATCGCCTGTTTTTGCAGATTCATAAGAATTTTCCTCTAGCTTTTATATCTTAAAGGATAATTTTGTATAATGTAAATTCTTTGGCTTTGACTTTCTCTTGAGTATCTTATTTATGATTGCACTTTTCCTTAAAGCCCTGCAGTTTGTCTGGAATGTAAGATTCTGTGATTGCTTTTCCTTTTCTGTATGCATTGTGTAAATTTAAGTCTTTTAGATTTTCCTTTATCTTTTGAATGTTTTTTATTGTTTTGAGGTCTTCAGTTATACAAATTTTAGATATTTTTGTCTTTATCATTTTGGCAAACCATTTTGTTTGTGATATTTTGAGTTTTTTTTTTTTTAATTTTTTTAAGCTGTCAATGGGCCTTTTATTTTTATTTATTTATATATGGTGCTGAGAATTGAACCCAGTGCCTCACACATGCCAGGCAAGTACTCCACCACTGAGCTACAACCCCAGCCCTTCAGGTATTTTATTTCTGCTTTGAGGAGGTATTCTCTCCTGCCAGCACTTATATCATTTTTCCCTTTAATTTACAGTGTTTAATTAAAATTTTTATCTGTCTTATGGTAGTATTGTTATAGTAAGTTTTTGTTATTGTTGTTTATAGAATTTTGCTGTACTTTTACAGCCTTTTTTTTCCCATAAATATCTCTGTCTATATATTTTTTTGTAACTCATTTTTCAATCAGTTGAATTTACCTGGACTGGTTATTTGAAGGCTGTGAAGAGTAACTGTGGGAGCCTAGGCCAGGGTTGCCTTTTATACGTAGTTAGGATCTATGTCTTTCTTATTGCAGTATCAGGCTGTCAGTACTGCCTTCTCTAATAGCATTTCTGAGTAGCCATGCCTTCCTTCTCTGACTCTTTGATCTTATCTTGTTCAGGGTAGAGAGATTTAATATTGCCCTTTGTTCTTCTGTTCCCTTGTTGACATCTGTCACTAAGGGAAACATTTTTTTTCCACTGATCTTTTTTTTATATTATAATAACTAAAGCACATTAATTATGCAAATTAGTGGGTTTTGACTATGATCTTTCCATACATGTACATGTGCTTTGAATTGTATCCATCCTCCCTGAGCCCCTCATTTTTTCCCCAAAGAAACTCTTCTTTCCGGTGACTCCTTCACTTTGAGAAGGTGTGTATTTGCTGATATCTCTGAGACCTGCCACCTGTATGCTCCTCGTATTCTACTTTCTTTGTAGCTTGAATTCTTATTCAGTGTAAAACATTCGTTGTATGGAACCTGTTCATTCTAGAGGTGTCTTTTGACTGGGAATTAGGAGATAAGCTGCTGCTTTGTACTCACCATACTTTCTGCCTTCCTAATTCTCCCAGCTAAATGCTTTTGAGATTTATTTACTTTTCTTGTGAATGATGGTTACTTACTTAATGTTTTGTTCATAAAATAGGCAGTACCAGGAAGCAAGAGAAACATACCTTGATCTGGATAATAAAGTAAGGACTTTAAAAAGATTTATTAAATTACTAGAAGAAATAATGACTCATAGATACAAAACATATCAACAGTTTAGAAGGTGAGTATATTTAAAAAATATTACTTGCATATATTACATATTTGTGTTTTCTTTTTTCACATTATGCTTTATAGATAATAAAATTAAGTTAAAAGAACGTTACGTGATTCATTTGTAACAGAAATAGTACTTGTCATTTAGGATTCTGTAATCAAAGAATTCTGATTTGAAGGAACCTTTAATAGCAAGCAAGTTATCCAACTGTGCTAGGTATCCTTCACTCTTAGATGACTTTCATTGCTTGAATAGGTTCTTTGAATGAGAACTCATTGGTTCTGAAACAGCTTATTTCACTGTTGGACATGGTTTGGTCTTAAGAGGATACAAGAGTTTGGTGGGGCCTGCTAAGGCAGTATCCCATTTGATTTACCATGGTCTACTAGAATGACATAGTTCTGTAAATGCAGAAACTCTAATTCATTTTTGTTTCTTCAGTGTCAACTGTGTCCAAATATAGTAGGCACTTGGTATACATTGGTTGAATAAATAAATATGGATATGAACAACATATTCAGAGATGCATGCACACAGATTCATAGCAATGGATGGACTCCAGCTAATGTCACAGATGGCAGAATTAAACAAGAGGACAGTTAATAGGGAGGAATGACTCTGGATATATTTGGATCCAAGGCAGCCCTAGTCCTCCCACTTATTTCTCTCAGTGGCATTGCCTCAGTAACATGCTTTTTAACTATCTTTATATCCAAAATTCTATAATCTTAAGGTCATAAAATAAATAAAAATATATCTAGCTGTATTACTTATGGAGAAATTTAGATAAACCCCTAAAGAAAAATATAATTGATTATATTTCTTAACATATGTTAGTTTCAAAGTGTATTTTCAGTTTTCTTTAATTTACACAATAGTAATATATTTTTATAGGTTATAGTGTGACATTTTAATTTATGTAGACAATGTGTAATGATCTGATTAGGGCAATTAACATATCCATCACACGAGACATTTATCATTTCTTTTGTGTTGGCATTATTCATAATTGTGTTTTTCATTTTATAGATGTATTATTAAAACTTGAATTAAATGGGATTTTTATCCCATTGGGGCTGCTTTTAATAAAGGTGGGACTAAATGCAACCTTTAATTGAGGTTAATACCTCAAGGCAGTACTCTTTCTGAATACTCTGTCTTGTGAATTATGAGGTTATTCACTCCTGCTAGTGGGAACATGAACTCTTCCTGGCTCTGTGGAAGCCAGGATGCTTCTGCTTTCTTTTCCCAGGGTCACTAGTGTCTTCACACCTGTGCACTGATAGTAATCAACCCACGACTGGAGCAAAACCATGGTAGATCTCTGTAGTTCTCCCTGTGAGCCATCCTCTCCTCTCTAGTCCTCTGTTCCCCAGACTCCCAGCTCTGTCTCCTAACAAGAAGATACCAGGCTTTACTCTTTCAGTGAGTAGGAGTTTGGGATATTCACAGGGCTTAATCAGTTTGTGTCTTTCAGAGATTATTTTTGACTCTAGCTGCCTGTGCTATCTGGTATTCAGAGTCTGAAAACTATTGTTTCATATATTTTATCTAGGTTGTTAGTTTTAGACAAAAGTCTAAACCCAATCTCTATTACTACCTATGTGTTTCCAGGTGGAGTATTTTATTTTTATATCATTATCCAGAAATTTACATTTACATTTATTTTTAGAAAGTATTGCTGTTATGGTTTATTACCTTGATGACATGATTGATATTGTTTACCTAGTCTTAGGAGGAGAATAAAAATTATCAAAATTTTCTAAGTTGTTTGTGGATAACCTTGTCATTTCATGACAATAGTCTGTAGACATCCTGTAAGTGGAAGCAATTGAAGAATACATATTATAACTGCAAGAAAAAAAGTGAACAGGGAATTCTGAAAACCAACTAGTAGTGGTTGCTGTGGTAGCAAAAGAAAATGCAAATTGTCAGTATTTCCTTGTATGGGAAGTTAAGCAGTTTAGGGAAGGAATAGGATGGAAAAGGAAAAACAATCAAGTTATTCTGAAGAAATAAACCTTACACTAATCAATGAGTAAAGATAGTTAAAAAAAAAAAAAAAAAAAGCCAGTTACTACCTAGACCTTATTTTCTAAATACCGTTCTGTGCTAAAAAAAATCAGGGTTTCATGGAAAAATGCCTAGTTACAGACCTAGGCAGGGAAGGTACAAGAGAACCTCTTACTGTGCTAGAAAGGAAAGAAAGCATTTAAAATCATGTGTGTGTGTGTGTGAGAGAGAGAGAGAGAGAGAGAGAGAGAATAAATTTAACGACATAGGAGCCAATTTGAAGGGGCTTTCATTGGCAAAATCTGAGACAAAGGTGAGGATCAAAATAAGGACAGTAAGGAGTGGTATGGGTAAAATAAATCAATGAGTAAAATAATAATTTCTAATTCCAACCTGCTAAATAAAAAAGGTAGATATGTAAATAAGAAATTAAAGAAGGAAAGTTCTTCCTTATAGTACGTTGTCACCTACTATATAGAGAAGGAATCAGAGTTTGTGTTGTGCCAGGCATTGTATAAAGCATTATTATAGCAATAAAGAGATTGCCCTGACCCTTTTTGATACTGTGAAGTTGGGAGGAAATAGGCAAATCTATAGTTTAATCTGTTAACCAACCCCTCTAGAGCTTAATTCTTTTAAGGACAATAATTGTGTCTGATGTGTTAGGGTAATAATGTCTCCATAAATTAGTCAAATGATTGACATTCATATGAACTAACTTTTGTATAATGGGGTATATTAAATGTAGGATGACATCTTCATTACATAGATGTTTATTATAAAAGTAAATGGACTGATTAAAATGTGGAAACACAAATGAATATAAAAACACAGAAGGAAAGAAACCACCTAAAACTCACCTACTAAAAGGACAACCTATGTCAGCATTTTGATGTATTTCTCTTTGCTTAAATCTGTGGAAACACAAATGAGTATAAAACACAGGAGGAAAGAAACCACCTAAAACTCACCTATTAAAAGGACAACCAAGATTAACATTTTGGTGTATTTCTCTTTGTTTAAATCATGCTGAAAATATAGTTCTATATATCTTTTTCCTCTTTTTAATTTGCTCAATTTCTTCATTTTAAGGTGTTTGACTTTACGATGCAAATTGTACTTTGACAACTTACTATCTCAGCGAGCTTATTGTGGAAAAATGAATTTTGACCATAAGAATGAAACTCTTACTATATCAGTAAGTATCTTAATTTGTTGGATCCTGATCATTAGGAAAGTTAGCTGCTTTTCTTTTGATTAAACATTCATGAGCTTTAAGGTATTGTCTTTGGAAAACAGAAGAATGTATTTCTAAGTTAAGGATAATCTTTTTTCTATTGTGATAAAAATTAAATGTATTTTACTGAATAAAGCTGCTAACTTAGTTTTGCTTTTTTTTCCCCCAGACAAGCACATTATTTTCTTAGGCAGATAATTACGAACTTTATTTTCATTGACAAGTGACTATCTTGTCTTTCTACTTCATTAGTTTCTTTTAAAAAATTTTACACAGCATTTTAAATTATATGAGACATTGTGTAAAGTCCATAGTCTCTAGTTACTTCGTTGGAAACCAAGAAGGTTCTGCTTCATGTAATTGTCTTTGCATTATTTACTTCTGAAGTAGTTCCTAGCTCTGGCCTCTTTTGAATACACAAAGCACATTCAACTTTGTGGGTTCTGTGGCTATGGATTCATTCATAGGTATATGTATTAAAGGTGGGGTATGGGGATATGGCAATAAAAATTGTATAGTCAGTTCAAGAACAACTACTCTAATCTGGGGAAAATTTTTCAAATAGTTTATTACTCTTAGTACCATAAATTTTATCCCTTCATTTGAATACTTAGAAGATATGTTATGTGTTTGGAACATCTTTGTCATTTGGAACCTCTGCATTTTAACCAAATTAGGAAGTTAATTTTTACTCTTTCTTTATTTAAATTTCCACTGAAGAATCATTGGTAGCTTCTCACCTACCATTTTTTAAAATTTTGTTTTAATTAGTTATACATGACAGTAGAATGCATTTTGACACATCATACCTAAATTATTTTTTATTAAGCAGCGGGGAGTGAAGGAAAGAGAAGGGATATGGTGGTAGGCTAGTAGAATGAATCGAACATTATTACCCTATGTGCGTATATGACTACACAACCAGTGTGATTCTACATCACGTACAACCAGAAGAATGAGAAGTTATATTGCATTTTGATATGTGGATCCTACCATTTGTTTTTAAGAGATCCCATCATTAAAGATAGAAATATAAAAGTATTGTGAGGAATTGTACTCTGGGTAGAGAAGTGATACATCATGACAGCTCATTGCTTTCACTGCACACTACAAAAAAGCCAGGGAAATAACAAAAATTTGTTTTTGAAGACGTTGGAAAGCTACATAGAAGCAACAGTTAACTTGGAATTTCAAGGGATAGGAGAGCCTGCCTAAAGTAAACTGACCCAGCTGTCTCCCAGCCTTACCGTGCCTTACCATGCCTCTGACCTAATAAAAGGATACGTCTACTCTTTGGTGGAATATTATATCATCTGGAGCCTCTATTATTGTTTTACACAGAATATCAAGCTACATCCTGTGGTTAGGAAGAAGGCAAGTGTATCTGTGCTCACCATATCTGTTCAACATTGTAGTAGAGGTTTTGACCAAGGCTAAAAGTCAAGAAAAAGAACTAAAAGACATGCATTAGAAAAGAAGAAGTCAGATTTTCTTTATTCACAAATAATATGATCATCTGTGTCAGAAATCTGATGGAATCTGCAGAAAATCCACTAGAACTAGTAAGTGCAACTAACTACCAAAGTTGGAGGCACAATCAATATACAGACAGAATGAATTGTATTTCTATATACTAGCAACAAATGATCAGAAATTGAATTTTCTTTTTCTTTTGGTGGTGCTGGGAATTGAACTCAGAGCCTTGTGCATGCAAGGCAAACATCTACCAACTGAGCTATGAGCTAAATCCCCAGCCCCAGAAATTGAAATTTTACTAATACCATTTATAATAGCATCAAAAGATAAAACTTAGATAAAAATCTGACCAAAAGTAAGCAAGACCTATAAAATGGAAACCAAAGAGAAATATGGTGTTCATGGATCAAGACTTCAGTATCAAGGTTTCAGTTCTCCCCAAGTTGATCTATAGATTCTACACAATTTCTATCAGAATATCAGCATGCTTTTTGTAGATATTGATAAGCTGATTTGTACATGGAAATGCAAAGGACTTAAAATAGCCAAAACAACTTTGAAAAGGAAGAACAAAAGTAAAGGTCTTTAAAACTTTCTATTAGCTACAGTAATAAAGACAGCAGGATACTGGTATAGAGACCTTAAAAGAGAGTAGTAAAACAGGATACATATTACAAAGGAGCAAAAGGAAATACATCCTTTGGAAAGGATGAATATATTCTTTATCTTCAGTTGTGGTTTCATAGATGTGTGTATTTGCTAAAATTTAATCAAATTGTTTATTTTAAATATGCCCATCAGTATTTTACACCTCAAAGCTGTAAGAGTTACCAGATAAATGAAGAAGCATGGAAATGTGACTGATACAGTTTTTTTAAAGTGGAAAATAGAAAGACTTACAGATAATAAGTTACAAGAAAGAGCAGATTGATTTTTCTAATTATAATTAACAGGTTAAAGAAAATAGAGTTCGTAATAAACAAAATGAACAAAAAATGCAGAGCTTCAACATAGCATTGAAGTTTACAGAAAGAATTAACAGATATTCTAAAGCAAAAAAAATGCATTTTCTGAAATTAAGAATTCATTGAATGATTTAACAGCCAACTATAGAACAAAGGATAAAATTAGCAGAACTCAAAGGAGGTCAGAGGGAATATCTAAAGTAAAGAACATAAAAACTGAGCAAGGAATACTGAACAGACATTAAGAGATATGCGGGGCACAATCAACAGGTTTAATATAAGTGTAAGAGGAGTCCCTATAGAATAGAACTAAGAATAAGCAAAGAAAATACGTTAACCCAAATTCAGAAACCCTAGCAAACACCAAGTTAGATAACTATAAAGAAAGTCTCACCTAAACACACAGTATACTATCAAGTAGCTAAAAACCAGAAGCAGAGAGATAATATTAAAAATTATAGGAAGAGAAAAAGTAAATATTACTTTCCACATAGCAAGAATAAAACAAGTCAGACTTTTTAACAGGACTTATGGAAGAACAATATCGTCTGACTTAAAATTCTAAATTTTAAAAAACCCTGTGACTTAGAATACTATAACTAACAAAATAATCTATTTAAAATGAGGATGAAATGTCTTAGTTTTCAGACAAAAGCTGAAGAAATTCTCCAGCACACTTGGTCCACAAGAAGTACTACTAAAGAATGTCTTCAGGTGAAAGAAAAGTGATAGATGGAAACATGTAACTTCTGAAGGAACAGAGATCCCTAAGAAAGGCACATCTATGGGTTGATATAAAATAGCTTTGGCTGTCTAAAACAGCAACAAGATAGTGTCGTGACAGTAACACTAAAGGGGGATAAGAGCATATGGAGTTAAGCTTTTGTAAGGTTCTTTACATTTTGGAAAGTAATAACATTACTAATTTAAGATCAACTAATACATCAGAGATATGTGTTACAATCTCTAGAGCAACCACTAGAAGAATGTTAAAATAATACGTAATAGAGTCCAAATAAAAGAATAGAAAATAAATATACTCAAATAAGGGCAAAATGTGAGGAGGAATAAAGAAGATATGGGACAAATAAATAGATAAATTACTTAAAGCTAGATTTACCAATAATTACATTAATTGTACATGGAACTAAAAGGAAAAGATTGTTAGTCTAGATAGAAGCATGTAAGAGCCAACTTTTTTCTGTTAGGAAAAGACACTTAATTTTAACTTACATGGGATAGAGAACAATTCTAAGTAAAATATGGGGGAAACGGTGCAATATTAGCCAAAAGAAATGAGGTAAAGCAATATTAATAGCAAACAAAATAGGTTTTGCACAAGAAGAGACAAAAAAAAGCATTTCACAATATTAAAAATTACTTTAAAAAATACTGTAATTTTTATATACCTAGTAAGATAACTTCAAAATATTCCATGATCCCAGCAACTTGGGAGGCTGAAGCAGGAGGATTGAAGGTTGAAAGCCAGCCTCAGCAACTTAACAAAGCCCTAAAAAACTGCAAGACCCTCTCTCAAAAAAAAACAAAAAAACAAACCAGTGCTGGAGCTGTAGCTCAGCAGAAGAAGAGCATTTGCCTCACATGTGAGGCACTGGGTTCAATTCTCAGCACCGTATATAAATAAGTAAATAAGGGGCTGGGGATATAGCTCAGTTTGTAGAGTGCTTGCCTTGCACACAAGTCCCTGGGTTCAATCCCTAACACCTCCAAAAAAAAAAAGTAAATAAAATAAAGGTCCATCAACAACTTAAAAAAAGAGAGCTGGGGGTGTGGCTCAGTGATTAAGCACCCATGGGTTCAATTCCTGGTTCAATAAAAAGCCATAAAAGTTAAGAGAACCAAGGCAAAGTACAAGATTTAAATAATGTAATTAACCGAATCAACCTCAATAGCCTACTATAGAACACTGTACAAAACTACTCGATCGTGAGTTGTTTTGAAGTACATAAAACATATTAATCAAAATCTGTGGGAGACTGCCATAGGATTTCTCAAGAGAGGGATTTATATCTGTAAATACCTTAGTGGGAAAGGAAGGCCAAGCATTAATGATCTCAGTTTTATCTCAGGAAACTAGAAAAAGAAAAACCAATTATAAACTAAAGTAGAAAAAAAGAATATTTAATGAAGATCTAGCATAGAAGTTAAAGAATAGAAAACAAAACTATACAATAGCAACAAAATAGAATAAAGAGATAGGCCAAACATACATGGTTTCCTAATTAAGGGCAGACTCCCCTATAGGCCTATGGGGAAAAGGTGGTCATCTCATGAATTGTGTTGTATTCAAATTGTTGGTTATACTTTTGGTAAAATAAATAGCAAACCTTGACCCTTTACCTCATGTAAAGTACAGAAAGTGATTAGAGATTTAGAGTCTAGTGGGGTGGTGCATACCTGTAATACCAGCAACGTGGAAGGCTGAGGCAGGAGAATTGCAAGTTCATATCCAGCCTCAGCAGCTTGGAGAGACCCTGAGCAACTTATGGACCCTGTTTCAAAATTAACTATAAAACCACTGGGCAGGTAACTCAGTGGTTTAGCACTCCTGGGTTCAGTTCCTGGAACAACAACAACAAAAAAATTTGATCATAGACCTACATGTGAAATGTAAAACGGTAAAGCTAAAAGAAGAGAATGTCTTCTCTTTCCTCTGCATCTTTAATAGCCATTTAAACTAGAACCAGATAATCGCAGTTTCCCTGATTGACTGATGTGGTATTTTTTCATATAAATGATACCTTTTTTTTGTATATTTGTTGGCAGTTTTTATTTCTTCCTTTGGGAAAAGTCTATTCAGATTGCTTACTCATTTTTTTAATTGGGATTTTGTTGGGTTTTGGGGGTTTTTTTGAACTTTTTATTTTATATTCTGGGTATTAATTCTTTGTCAGGTGAGCAGTTTGCAAATATTTTCTCCCATTTTACAGGGTATCTCTCTTCCCTCTGTTAATTGCTTCTTAGTTTGATATAATTCCAGTTTTCTATTTTTATTTTGTTGCCTATGCTTTTGGGGTCTTGTCCAAAAAATTATCGACTATACTATTGTTTTAAATGATGTCCCCTGTGTCTTCATATACATTCTTGGTGACAATGTGAATTAGTATACTCATATGGAAAACAGAATGGAGGTTCCTCAAACAATTTTTTTTCTTCTGGGTACCAGGGATTAAACTCAGGGGCACTTGAGGACTGAACCACATCCAGCTCTATTTTGTATTTAAGAGACAGGGTCTCACTGAGTTGTTTAGTGCCTCACTTTTGCTAAGGTTGGCTTTGAACTTGTGATCCTCCTGCCTCAGCCTCCAGAGTTGCTGGAATTACAGGCATGTGCCACCTCACCCGGTTCAAACAATTATTTTTAATTTTTGAGTTAAATGAATCTTAATTTAATGAATGACTGAATGACCCAGCAATCCTACTTCTGGGTAGATATCCAAAAGAACTGAAATTTGAATATTAAAGAGATAGCTACACTGCCATGTTTATTGAAGTCCTGTTCACATTAGTCAAAACATGAAGTTAGCCTCAGTGCTCATCAGTAGGTGAATAGATAAGCAAAACACATATATAAAATACTTAATCTATATATATGTGTATATATACATACACACACTCTTAAGCTAGTATTATTATTAAGCTATATCTTAAGTTCAGCTGTTGAAACAGTGAAATAGATGGAAATAGAGGACATTATGTTAAGTTAAATGAGCCAGGCGTGATTAACTAGCAGATCAGAAGGTCAAGGGAGAGGGGGGATAGAAGGTTGGATAATCGGTTCTTTTTTTTTTTTTTTTTGCCTTTATTTTATTTATTTTTATGTGGTGCCGAGGATCTAACCCAGGGCCTCGAACATGCTAGACGAGTGCTTTACCGCTGAGCCACAATCCCAGCCCAGGATAATGGGTTCTTAAACACAGAAGGTATAAGTTCTTGTGTTTCACTGCACAGCAGGGTGACTATAATTTATAACATATCTTTTATTTTATGAAGATCTGGAAGAGAGGACTTCAGAGGCTCCAAACAAAAGAAATAAGAACATGGAAATGTTGATTACTCTTACTTGATCAATACTTTCTGTATATATGTCTTGAAATATAACACTGTACTTCCTAAATATGTATAATTGTTACATATTAAGTCAAATTAATAGAGTATCTTTATGTTTTTTATGAAGATTTATAAAGTGGGACACAAGCAGTAATCAAGATTGACAATTTATTACAATAAAGAATTACTCCATCAAAAAAGTAACATTAAAAGTGTAATAATGGAAGCTCTGAGCAGGGAAGATATTTGCACTACATATGTAAAATAAAGGACTGAGAATTTTAAAGAATAAGAAATATTAAGAAAAAACTTATATATCAAAAAGCTTAAATAGGAACCTCATAAATTAAGATATCCAAAGAATGAATAAACACATGGAACAGTGCTCAGCATTGTCAGTCATTAAAGAAATACAAATTTATACCTCAGTAAGTTACTGTCCCACCCCTATTAGGATGACTGAAATGAACAAAACTGTAAATCTTGCGTTGGTAAGGATGTGGATTTAGAACTCTGATATGTTGCTGGTGGGAGTGTAATTTTGTAGAATTCATTTGAAAACCTGTCAAGAGTCTCTTAAAGCAGTTCCATTCTTGGGCATAAGCCTAAGAAAAATGAGTTCTTATATCCTCAAAAACATTGAATATATGCTTAAATTTTAAAATTTTTGAAACTTTTATAATATTAAAGATTGCTTATTTGAGAGCAACATTTTTTCAAATAGTGAATTGGAACATATTGACAACTAAATGTCTGCTATTTTATAAACTGGATAGTGCTCTGTTTTTTTCACCTTGTTTGGATATATATGTATCTGAAATTCTGTCACAATGAAATAGAATCCCTCTTAATGGATTTTATATTATAGGGAAATTGTGTTAAGAGGTTTTTTAAATTTCATTAATTACTTTTTTATTGTTCCTATGGATTTATCCAGTAAAAAAGAATTATTTAAATATATATTTTAATCCATTTCTGCTGTGATTCCTTGGCCATTTTTTTAAGCATCTTCGTAGGTCCTGTCTCCTTTTACACTGAATAATTAATTGTACTTCTAAAGCAGTGTAACCACTAGATGTCAGTGTAATTCCAGTAACAAAAAGTTATCTCAGCACTTTTAAATGTTTGAGACAGAAAGTGTCAGGACTAGTTTAAATTCTCTATTTTGATAAATGTTTGGCTTAACATTGAAACTTTATTAAATCTTTGAAATTTTGGTGTGTTAGATTCAGTTACGGTGAGAAAGTTTCCAATTTGATTCTTTTGAAAGTTAAAAAAATAAAAGTACCATTATATAGCTCACTGTTTTACTATAAAATATTTCGAATAGAATAGGTACTTTCACACCACCAAATCAATTTATTTCCATCCCCTCCCATTCACTTCCCCCCACCCTTTAACTGCACATTCCTTCCTTCTGATTCTGGAAATCCCTGCTTTCTTTACCTGTGTTATAAAGAGTTGACTTTTCCCACACTTAGTTTTTGTTTCTTGTCACCTCGTTCTCTTCAAGGTTCAGCCTGGAGAGGGAAATAAAGCTGCCTTCAATGATATGCGTGCCTTGTCTGGTGGTGAGCGTTCTTTCTCAACAGTCTGCTTCATTCTTTCCCTGTGGTCCATCGCTGAATCACCTTTCAGATGCCTGGATGAGTTTGATGTTTACATGGTACTGTTAAATTTTAAATCATGTAATTTTTGTTAATTTAAAATGTATACTTAGAAAGCAAAAAATGCTTCAATTTTTTTTATAATAGAAAGGAGTGTGCCCTGACTAGCAGTCTTTGTGGTGGGGTGGGGAGGGGGGGGACCCTAGAGTTGGAGTTCTGTCCGTTGCTATCATGCTGTACATCCAGGGACCCTGTCCCAAATTTCAGTTCTTCTCTCCCAGAATGAACATCCTGTCTGTCCATCCAATGGAATTTTCTTCAGCTTCTTCCCTAGCTTATTTCCATTAACTCAGAAATATGTTCAGGCTGTTATTATCTAACAAAATTGTCACCAGGTCATCACTCTTGCTTTTACTATTTGCTGTTGGCTGTCCTGTGGCAAAGTATATATTTTAAGGGTGTAAGAGCATTTGACTTTGAGCTTAAAAAAAACCTAGGATTTGAGACCTGCCTCTGCCACTGATTACCTAAGTTGAAGCCAGGTATTTAGTTTTTGGCAGCTCAGTTTCTTCATGAATGGAAAAGTTATGAATGCTTCCTAGGGTTATAGTGAGGCTCAAGTGAGGTCCTGCATGTGATGGGCTCACATGGCCCAGATAAATCGGCAATTACTCTCTTTAATACTTCTTTCCTAAGCCCATGGTAGTCTGGGTTTAGGCTGCCCTACTGCAGGAAAACTTGTTTAACAGAAATCCTACATGAGCTTATACCTACTCTATTTCTTCAAGTACATGGCACCACAGACCTGTCCTCCATCCCTTAGCATGTGTCATCTTGCCAGCTTGCACATTCTGCTTCCTGGTTTTACTGTATTCTACTGTTTACAGTCTGCTAGGCTGCCTTCCCTAATTCTAGTGTTCTTAAATGTTTTCTTTGTTTGCTTGTTACACTATTATTGATTTTCTTAGACTCTCTACCCTCTTTTCTACTCTCTACCATCTCAGGAGTGTGCGTGAATTCACACAGAATCCCCAAAGCTGTTAACTGCACATGGACACTTACCAGATAGAAGCCTCTCATCCTGACATCTCTCTTACATTCTAGATCTGTGTGCTCCACTGTCTGTTGGTTATCACCTAGTAAACAGCCAGTCTCTCAAATGCAGTTTGTCTGAGACATTGTGTGTCTTCCTCTGAAAGCCTTTTGCTTTTCCTAAATTCCCTACCTTGTGTAGTGCCAAACTGTCATTACCACCACTAACACCTAGCTTCAAACCCTGCAGTTTATCTATGACTCTTCCTTTCCTTTTACTTATACACTAAGTCTGACCTCCCTCTGCTCCTCTGGAAGCTGCGTTAGTCTTTGCCTCTTCTCCCTTCTCACCACAATTCTGGTGCCTCTCATCCCTCTCTGTTTGTCTTGCCTGCCATAAGAGCCTCCTGTCCCTACTCCCAGATTTCTGCCTTGCTCCTCCATCTGTGTGTCCTCTACCTTTTTAGCAGGTTTATATTTTCTAAAATAGATCTGATCTCACCTATTTAAAGCCCCTCAGTGGTTAATTATTATATTTGGGATGTATGTTTAATTCTGTAGGGTAATTTTGAGACCTTCACGTTGTAGTATTTGTGGGCATTTTCAGATGTACTAAACTATTTGTAATTTTCCAAATATGGCATCTCTGCCTATTGTGCCCTCTTTAGCTATGCATCAGACCCTGCTTATCTTTTAAGACTTGGCTCACATATCACCCTTATGACACCTTCTGTGACCACCATATCCTCTCAAAAGAACTTCTAAGAGTTTCCTTGACACTGCCTTAAAATATTATTTTTATATTATGAAGATACATAAATTTTATGTTATATATTATTAATTACTATAGTGTTTTTCATTGTTACCGTCACCTCTTTTCATGTGTGAATCTCCCACCAGATTGTAACCTTTTTAAGATTATCTATGTCTTAATCATGTTTATGTCTTCTAGTGCTTAGCCCATAGTAAATAGTTAGTAAATAATTATTCACAAATCAGAATTTATATTTGTTAGTACTCGATAATTATTCACTGTCAATTTTTTCCTTTTATGTAATTGCTAAAGATGGGTTGGAACTCCTTTGAGAATTGTCTTCAAGCTAATTTACAAGTCAGAGATGATAATTATTCTTTTCATGCAGTGTTTTTGTCTAAAATGTCATTATGTAGTCTTATTGCCCATATTGTATGTCAAATGGAATTATGAGCAGTTTCTTTCTCTTTTAGAAAATATAGCAAAACTTGGAGCCCCATTTGATTCCAAAACCCATGTTCTAAACCATGCATACTGTCACATATAGTGTCAAATAAGACCTTTATTTGTCTATTTTCAATTTTCAGGAATTTTTAAGTGAGGGATTAAATGATACTTTGATTTTTTTTTCTCTATTTAACTCAAATTATAAGCAGGGTCTATTCATTTAGTTTCAAATTCTAGCTCGAATGAAGCATTATTCTTTTTGTATACATTGATGTGCTCTTTAACTTATTTTAAAGATTCAAGGAATTGACCTGTAAATTCAAATTGGTTTATAATTGTACAGGCTATATAAGGTAATGAGGAAGGATTTTAAAACATTTAAAAAATATTATCTCTTAATCATTGAGGGACAATTTGAGAGACTTGATAAATATGAGATCAGACACTTTTGTTTTTATTCTGAGTGATTAAACCATTACTGAACTAATTAAATTTACACTGTTAGCATTTAGTTGTATCATTTGCACATTTTCTGATTATTTTAATTGCTACTTGAATTTGAGTTAGGGGGCCATACATGCAAATATTTTGACTATTATATAGGAATATTTTTAGTATAGGAGTAAACTGGAAGATATATTTATTTAGTTATTTTCCCCTAATAGTTTCTGATACTGTCTTTCCAGGTATAAATTCCTCAGCATCATAGACAAAGTAAATCTGGGAGTTTCTATCAGCCAGTAGAATGCTGATTTTATAGAAATGGGATAAAATATAGTACCAATCCTAACCTTTGTCTTTGTTCTCCAGGATATGGTTAACAGGAGAATTGCAATGGATATGATACTTAAGATGGCAGATTCCCAGCGTTTTAGACAATTTATCTTGCTTACCCCTCAAAGCATGAGGTAACTTCTTAAAACTTTCTGCAGGTGTATATGTATGTTAAGGGGGAAAGAAATCTTTTTCTTTGAAAACTTAATTTATCTTAGCCTTTAAATGCAAATGTGTAAGTGACCAATGAAGAGAAAACCCCTGTATTGGTTCAGGATGTTTAGAATAATTTCTCCTTTTTTAGCTCTTTAAAATTTTGTTTGTGTGATCTCCCTTCCATAACTAATTAAAATATGATTATTGACTTTTTAGTATTTCTATTTTTAATTTGTTTCTTTGTGATTACTCTGACCAACTAATAATAATATAATTTTAGTATTATATGTAGTACAGAGAAACAATGCATGGTTTCCCTAGTCTTGACTCTTTTCTTGGGGATTTGCAAATACTAGTCTTTCTAAATAAAGAACTCTGTTATGCTGTTAATCTATATTTGTTGGGTATCTACAGTGTGTCAGGCACTGTGTCACGAGTTGATACTCGGCCTCTGAAATGGCCCTATGATCATTTGGGATTTAAACTTCTGATTAAGAATATTCATGTAACTCCTTCCTGGCTAGACAAGAGTAAGAGTTTAAAATAGTTGAGCTGGGCATGGTGGCACATGCCTGTAATCCTAGCAACTTGGGAGGCTGATTGCAAATTCAAAGCAACTCAGCCTAAGCAACTTAGCAAGATCTGTCTTGGAATAAAAAGGGCTGAGGATGTGGCTCAGCAGTTAAGCATCCTTGGGTTCAATCCCTGAAATAAAATATCCTCCTTCATTTTCTTTTCCTCTATGCTGAAAACCCATGGGATCTAAGTTGTAAGTTAATTTTTAAAAATGAAAACAAATATTTCCTTATTGCAAATTGTATTTCTCCTAGAACTCTTCATATTAGATGTATCCTGATCTTAGCAAATAACAATCATGTAGGTTTGTATTTTCATGAAGTAGTATTAGGCTTTGGTGTTTTGGTTTTTTTGTTTTCCCCCAAGGTGCTAGTAATAGAATGTAGGACCTTGCACATGGTAGGCAAGTGCTTTACCCTAGATTTTTGTTTTCAATGGACAAAAACTTTCTTGGAAATTTGAGTAATGAATTTTGCTTTCTCTAGCTCACTTCCTTCAAGTAAACTGATTAGAATTCTTCGAATGTCTGATCCTGAAAGAGGACAAACTACTTTGCCTTTCCGACCTGTGACTCAAGAAGATGATGACAACTGAACTAAATTTTTAATTTAATATGCTTTGTCCTCATGCTGAAAGATTCGTGAGGGGAAAAAATATGGACTATTTGAATAACACGAGACTGGAGATATTCTAAAATAAAACAATCTCCTTTTATCTGACTATAATAAAATATTTAAATAAGCCTAGGAAACCAGCTATACAACCAGCAATTGAAAATTACTTTTACTTTCCTTTGAGAAAATCAGTTACATTGTACTGGTTTAAATTGCTTTGAGTTCTTTGTTTTTGTTTGTTTATTTTTAGCCATCTACTTTTGTAGATTGTTTTTCAGAAGTAAAATTTTATACATATGCATATGTACATATCTGTTTAATTTGATTTATTTCTATAGTATTTTTTAAAAATTAAAATAAAAATTTGAGTACCTCATTATTTAGTTTTGCTTTTCCAGAATATTACATTCTACCATTAAATTATCAAAAGTAGGTGATGGGAGGGATTTCACATTGTAGAAGGGGTGCAAGTGTGGGCTATGGATACATACAATAGACCTATTTTTTTTTTTTTACAAAATCTATTAGTTATGAGGACCCTACACAGGACTAGAATTACAAAATCTCTGCCTACAGGCAATTTTTAACCCCAGAGGTTCAATTGTAGATTTGGGTTGTGGCTTTTTATTATTGTATATCATCAAATGTAAGATGCTGTCTGTTTATAAGACACTTGTGAAGTACTGAAGCACTGCCAACTGACAGAATGCTTTTTTCCTCAGATCTTTACCTGTGCCCTATATAATAAGAACTTGTAACCAGTATAACCAGTATCAAATAGATAATGATGCAGTTATTTATCCTGACTAGATGCCTGCTGACTTGGTTTAAAAGCCCTCAGTTTGCAATCAAGGTTCTCTCAGCTGAGAGGATACAGGACAGAGGGTCTGTGCACACAGGGCTGGGAGAAAAGCTAGGGAAATGGTGGTTGCTTGTGGAGCAGGAGAGCAGTTAGTAGCTGCAATGAGCCAAAAGCTGCACCTTTGATGGTGAGCTATCATTCAATTATAAGAAATATCCTAGTTTTTAGAAATGTTAAAAAGTGTGCCCCTAGGAATGATCAAACATAGTTTATTGTAAAAAAATAGAAAAAGTGATTTATGACTTTTTAAAGAAAACATGAATAGAACTGTTGCCCATATTTTCTGTTTGATACTAGTTTTAGTGCAAAACTGTTTAAAAAAACACATTATCAATAAGCATTCCTTATATTACTAGCAATAAATATTAGAATATGTATTTATGAAACTGAAAAGGAAATATTTTAAGAAAAGCAGTATTTTAAGAACAAGGACATTTCTATAAGAAAAACTGGATTTTGGTTTTGGTGGTGGAGGAGTCTAATTTTGATTTAAATTGAAATAAGCTGCCAATAAAAATCCAAAAACTTGTTTTCTAATCTGCAACTATAGAAAGAGGAAAATGTGTGCTGTTCTAAACATTTGCTGCTGACCACATAAAATCTGATTTTTAAGTTACATTTATAACTCATTTGTATCAAAACTATTTTAACGTGTGCTTTTTCAAATAAACAGAGTAGAATTTACCAAATGCATTAATTTTTTATTAGCTAAGGAATCTCAGTAAATTTTTGTGACAGTTTTCAATATTATGCTTCTTAATACAAAATGGGAAATATAATGCTTAGGTATCTGAAAGTCTCCTGTTGAACTGAAGGTCATTCGTTGCTTTGGTTTCACAAAATTTTGGTTTCAGCCATCCTTAAGTTAACATATCTTCCTTCATCTGTGTTCCAAGTAGTAGTAATATTAGAGTAAAAGAATAAAAAGAAATTATTCTTTTAAAATATATGTAACATCTAAAAATAAAATTATATGCATTAAAGTCATGGTTTTGTGAGTTGGGAAAAGCAGTAATTGACCAGCTTCAGTCTCTTTATTATTAGTAGTCACTTAAATGTGTCATATGGTGATCTTGAACTTCTAGAATAAAGTCCCAGGAAACAAGGAAGAAAGGCTTCCTTGATCTTCAATCCTACCTTCTCAAATCTTTGCACTGGAAATGATTAAAATCATTTTCAAACTGACAAATATGGTGTTATAGTAAGCCAAGATGTAAATATGGCATATGCTCCCACCATGATGTGCTGCCTCACCACAGCCATGATCATGGACTGGAACCTCTGAAACTCAGTGAACTTGCAGGGGGGCTTAGGTGACCAACATTTTACTTAGAAGATATAATTGACTATCCTTTGCTTGCTAGACCCCTGTACGTCCTTTGCTATCAACTCCTCCAAAGATGTCTGTTTAAGTCTATGCTTTACTTGTGACATGACTTAAAACTGGAATAAGTGTCTGGCCTCTTTAAGAAGGTAGTTTGCTGGGTGTGGTGGCACATGCCTGTGAGAGTCTTGGGAGACTGAGGCAATAGGATCACAGGTTCAAAGCTGGCCTCAGCAACTTATCGAGGGCCTAAGCACTCAACAAGACCCTGTTTCTAAATTTTAAAAAATGGGGGACTGGGGATGTGGTTAAGCACCCCTGGATTTGATCCCCCTGTACCCCACCCCCCCAAAAAATGGTAGTTTATTCAGAAATTGTGATCCTGAGTGACAGGGAAAATGAGGCCTTAAAGCAATGGTGTTGCCCTTTAAGAAATAGTTATTAAAATTAAGAAATATAGAAACTTGGGACTGCTAAGTGCAGAAAGTTGGGCCTAGAAAACAAGAATCTTAGGGCATTTTACTTTTGCAACAGCAGCAGGGGGTTAAATAGTTAAATTAGCATGGGAATGACACTGGCAGGGATGTTAAGCTAGACCCAGTAGAATTTAAGCCTACTTGAATGACCTACCTATAGTTGGTCCTTTCTGAAGGAACCACTTTTGGTTGGGATAGCAAGGAAGATGGTGAGGATTCTGTTTGCTAGATCTGAGTGTGTCTAAATGCAACCTGACTGCAGAATGCTGAGTTAAGCATGGACCTCAGTTCAGGGATTTGCCTTCAGCTTTGATCCAACAGTATTTTTTCCCCTCTGTTCTTCATTCTCCATGACATTTTATTGTCCAAAAATGCAACAACAGAACCCTTCCATGTTCTTACAGATCCTTACTTTGTGAAGTCTTTTCTAGATCTGTGCAGATTTGTGACTCACTTATTCAGTGGAACACAGTAGAAATGACCTTGTATGACTTCCTAAGGCTCAATCTGAAAAGACAATGAAAAGAAGTGAAACTCCTGCTTTGGTCTTTGAAATACTCATGGGCTCTGAAATGGACTCTTTTGTTCATGGAAGGAGCCAAAGTACTGTGTGGAGAAACCATGCAGGGAAGACCTCAGATTATAAGAAGAGGAGAGACGCCCAGTTACTCCTCACTGCTTCAAGTCCCTGTGTTCCACTGTCTCACTATAACTATCTGGGATACCCTAAGCCAGAACTACCCCATTGAGTTTTTGTAGAAGTAGTGGCTCACAAAAACCATGAGACATGATATAATTGTTTTAAGCCACTAAACTGGAGTGATTTGTTGTATAGCAATAGTAACTAAAAAAGATTTGGGTAGCTGAAAGAAGTTCCAAAATAAATCTAAGCCACATGGTACTGGCTGAAAGGTCTCATGAATCTAAAGTGTGACTATAAAGATGTTAATAGAAGCCTGGATGCTTTCAGTGAGGGCATGACAGGAAGTGGACCCTTGTTAGGTGGTGGTCGGAAGTTTGGCAATACTGAAGCTGTGGTAAGATAGGAAATACATGTAGCCAATTACTCTAGCCAAGATTTCCTGATAGAATGTGAAAAGTACCCTCTGTCCACTGCCTATAAGGACATGTGAGAGGAACAAGTAATGCCATTAAGGAGCCAAGGTGATTCTTCATTCCCATAGTTCTCTAGGTGGCAACTGATTTTCAAATTATAAAAAGGTTGCAGTACAAAAATCAACTCCAGGGTAGTATTGTAAGATCCTTTGTGAGGACCTCAGAAAGATCTAAGGCAGCAGTTTTAGAACTTTTCAGACCAAAGGCTGACTTCTAAAAGGGTGTCTTTCAGGCCCTCTCCATTAAGCAATAGGACTTCTAAGGGTATTAAGAAGAGCAATCTCATAAGAAGTGTCTTTTAATGCAGTGGATCTTTATAAGAAACGCATAAAGCTTTTAAAACAATTGTGTCATCTTTAACTGAAAGAGTAAGACACAGTACAAATGAAGACTTTGTACACCTGAACTTTTATGAGTAGGCAATCCATAGACAGAAAACTACTATATACAGACTGATTTTTTTGTTAAGAGGGAAAGACAGCTCAGGATAGCAATAAGCACAAAAGGCAGAGCCAAGAGCCATGGAGAATAATCTCCAGAGAATATTTCTGAGCCCTAATCAGGAAAATGGAGCTCAGAATTGCTGTGGATCAGAGACAGGTGCTTTTCATTTCCTTCATCTTATGAAATATATGCCTGGCAGTTTCTCCAAGCCTATACCATTTCACACTGTGGGAGGAGAGGGGAGCAGATAGATATCCATTTGGCTCACAGGTCCTTGTATCAAGAAGCTCAGGAGGCTGAGGCAGGAGGATTTAAGGCCAGCCTCAGCAAAAGCGAGACCAAGCAACTCAGTGAGACCTTGTCTCTAAATAAAATGCAAAATAGGTCTGGGGATGTGGTTCAGTGGTTGAGTAACCCTGAGTTCAAGCCCTGGTACCAAAATAAGAAGAAAGGAGAAGGAGTTGGGGAGAGGGGGAGGAGGAGGGGAAGGGGGACAGGAGGAGAAGGAGGAAGACAAGGAAGAGGAGAAGGAGGAGGAGGAGGAGAAGAAAGAGGAGAAGGAAGAGAAGGAGAATAATAATAATAATAATGATAAATAATGGGATTCAGTATGGTGTACTCAAGCCTTGACATGATAAGACCCTGGGCCTCAAGCTTGATTCTGAGTCATGATAGGAGGCTTTTGTGGTTTCTTGGGAAAACATATCTTGTATGGGAAGAAATGTGAACTGCAGCTATGAGGTAGACTATGGCAGCTTGTTTAACAAAGATGACAATATCTTTCATACTTCATGTTCTTCTAGAATCTTTCCTCACTCCATCAAGAGATAGTCTAATTCCCTTCTGGACTATGAATAGTATATGCCTTTCTTATAACTGATATAATGCTATGGAAGTGATACTTTGTGTTCATGTTTTTCTGAAGTGAGATCAAAAGGACAGTGAAACTTCCAACTGCACCAGATACTTGTCCTGGAACTCTGAACTGCCATATAAGTAGTATGACTGCTCTGAGGCAGCCATGCTATGAGGTAGCACAACTAGCCCTTGGTAGTGATTTGAGAACAGAGATCCCCACCAGCTTCCTGCTGCTTCAACCCATTTCAGCTCCAGTTACCAACTGACTGGAGCTGCACCAGAGTCTTAATAAAATG